CTGGTGCATGCACAGAGGCACATCCACCCTGAAAAGGGTCATGGGCGTATATTCGAATTATCTTGTCGGGCTCCATTAGAGTACGGACCGTCAGTGTACCATCTGATGAACAGGTAATGAGCCATTCAGAGGTTGAGCTCAGATGTAACGATATTTGAGCCTTCTCATGGTCTTGGGACTGTGCGCAAAGTCAGTGACAAAAGCCTCTGGCCACGATTCATTGTGGAAATTCCTCACCTCGTAGGCGGGAACGCCGAGATGTACGACATCTTGACCCAGTTTACCATCATCATTCAATCTCGCTACCGATACGCCAGCGGTAGAAAGCACCTTAGATCCCGCGGGTGCTTGATATGACTTCAATTTACGATCGACGGATGTCACATAAAATGTTTCGCGGCCCGCAGAGAGATGGCTGCGTGGAATCGTATCAAGCTCATTGACCTGGCGGTAAGGATCGAGGTTATCTTACCTAGGAACAATGACCATGTCCACCAAAACGTCATCAATCTTATATACGACGGACTGCATGAAGATAAATGCAAGTATCACAACATGACTCTAACGGACGATTCGAAAGTTCTTTCGTGAAAACCTACCGGCGGTAGGTGGAGTTCTCCTGTATCCTTTGCTTTTCGCTCCAACGGCACGCTAAATCGATGTACAAAGCTGGTGCGTTGGCGTGGGTTCACCGTAAGGATGTACAAAAAGAGGGCCTAGAGATACCGCAATTGGAGCTAAGAAAGCGAAACGCACAGTCGCGATAGATAGGTTCCAGCTCACCGTTCCCACATCCTCTTCCAAACTCCAGGCGCAAGCACAGATGTCCCCTTCTATCTTCAGTGAACCCCATAGCCCAAAAACATCAAATGCTTCAAATAGACATATTCGCCCGTCTTTTGAGCAAGATATCAAGTACCGCCCACTCGGGTCGAACGATATTTTTTCAACAGCTTCATGATGCACCCGGTGACGAGCGATCAGGCGAGGTGAGCGGCCGTTCCGACAGTCATAGAGCCGGACTACCCCACTGGAACTTCCTACCGCCACAAGAGGAGCAAAGCTGGAGCTTGCAATGCAAGTCGGTACACCCGAAAGATGGTCCTTCCCGATGAGCGCATGGCGATCGGGGTCTTCGGTAGAGTAGAATTGAAGACTGCTGTGTGATGCCGTTACAACGAGGTTTGCCATGCGAAGGAGAGTGAGGTGCGTTGGGTGGCCAGGACTCTCAAGTGTCTGATGGAGTGTACAACGTCTGAATGAGAGCTACGAGAAAGTATGAAGAGAAGTACATACCAGTGCGCATTCCGCTGCGCCCACTTTATAGTGGAACAGCCTTCCGTCCATGGATTCCACAAGAAGGTGCTGATAGTCTGGTGAGAAAGCCAGGCGAATAAGTTCAGTACCGGCGGCAACCGGAATGGTCTTGGTAATTTTTTCTGCCTCGAAAGCGTACCAACGTAGGAAACCATCCTAGTAGTAGTTGATGTTTATGTTGTCTTCCTGTTCCTTTGCCATGCACTATCAGCTCACCTTCCCACCAATGATAATCGCTTCTCTCGCCACAACCGCACAGGCCATCTGTCCATTTTCGAAACTACTGTCTTCAGTGTCTTCACCAGCAGCGACAAACACCTCACATTCGCCCGTGGCAGGGTCATAATGCACCAGTTCATTTCCAGTGTCTGTCGTGCAGAGGATTTGATTGTCAATGGTCCATGTATGGGTTGTGGGCTTTGGACTTTGGTCTGTTACGGCAGGGAAGAGCGTTGAATGGCTCATAGGGATAGGTTTGCCGGTACTGGTAGAAAACAGAAAAGTGTGAGTCGCAGATTGTTTTCATCCTACACTTAGATTAGAATCTGTGCTCTTTTGACAACGCACTTACATGCTTTTCATGACATTCTTTTTGTGCCCCATCTCTATTCGCAAAAATCGGATTCCGTCTTCTCCGCTCACACAGAGGCACGTCGGATCAAGCGGACAAAACGACAGTACGTTGACAGCCATATGGTTTTCAACTTCGCAAATGAGTGCCCCGCTTCTCCAATCCCATACCGTAATACTGAACGTAGGGAGGGACCCAAGAGCCGCGAGATATTGGCCATCATAGGAAAAGGCTAAAGCCGTGATTTTGACATCTTTTGGCGCTTCTAGCTTTCCCATCCCCAAGGTGGCTTCACTGGGCCATTTAACTAGCTTGATCACTGTGTTCTCTCTCTCAGCATATGCAACAACATTTTCACGTCGCCAAAGAGCGAAAGCCGTTATTTGAGCATTGGCGTGGACACTCTTCAGGGCGTCCGGCGGGGAATCTGAATTTTTTGTACTTGGTGATACTGTATCTATAAAGTTGATGCAGTTACCAGATGTATAGGCCAAGATCGTAGAAGTGAGAAAGACAGCTGGGCTGAGGGGAGTGTGCCCGACCGATTTGCTATTACATAATGTCACTTTCACAGGACTAAATTTCAAAGCAAGAGGGACAGATACAACTTACGCCAGCTCCAAGTCCCCGTAGAGACCGCCAGGCATTTTGCGCTGCCTTTTGGATGGGACAAGACGGTTGCGGGAAACCCAGAATGTCACTGGACCTTGTCATTGACATCTGAGCGGGAGTGATTACACGTCGATTACTAAGCATTCGCAAATTTGTGGTTCATCATCAAAATGATCGTGAATCAACACTGCTCAACATCCTTTTACTCTGGGACTTTAGCGAAATGTGTCACTTTGATGATGGCTGTATTGAACGTACTGGCGCAAGCGCCTTTCATTTGCCCTTCATAGACAGCCGGAGCCAAGTTTTTGATATCTTTGCCAACCAATAAATACAGGTATCCTACCACCACTGCGAACCCCTATGTAAATCTGTCTATTAAGAGGGCACTAGAAAGACTGAACGAAATGTAACTGAATCATTTGCGAGGGAAGGTACCACTCTTGTTGCCAGATCTTGGTCGGACGGTTGGACGGGGTGCTTTTTTCTACAATTTTCTTTGTTACCAAATGAATTACAAGATGAAAGCCATAATGTTTGCCCTTACCTCTTTTGTTTCTGGTGCGGCACCATATGGGTTATATACAGTGGATGATTTCGCCCCTTTCGAGCGTTGTTTTGGAGTATCATCATCATCACTCTTAAGGGTAAGGGCGTCCATGGCGTCAGCGACGGCGCTCCGAGCTTTGGAGTAATCGAAAGGCTCCAACGAACCTGTGGGTTGCCCACGATTTGTATGCTTTCCTTGATTCGCTGGGAGGCCGGCCGCTTTTTTGTTTTTCTTCCGTTTCTTGTTGGAATTCCCTTTAACTTTCACTATTTCCACCTCTTCGTCTTCCAGGGATATAACGTCGCCAGAGCTGGCCGCAGCTCCATTGACGGGCGAGTCGCGGTCCGGAGACACTGCAGACGATGCACTGGATATATCACTAACATTCATCGGAGTTGCAACTTTCGGCCCTGATTCTTCCTTCATAGCCGCAGATGCAGGCGCTTGTTGGTCGGATGGTGGACGCTTTCGCTTCAGTAGCAAGGCCGCAGAAGGTGCCACCATATATAAGCTTTTCCTAATCTGCTCGGCCATCTTCCGGGCTGCCACTTCCTCCTCATCCTCGCCTTCAACGGTACCTTCACTGAAAATGGAGTGGGTTGTGACCATTACTCGCGCGATGCTCGGTGTAGCAGAACCGTCGTTTTGCGGTGCACCAAACAACTTTGATATTGGAAGCGGTTCAACCGTTGGCAGTGGTGTTGGTACGGGGCTGTCTACTGAGTCAGCGTCCAAGTCGTCCCTCTCCTCAAAGCGAATATGGATAGGGCCCTTCGCTTTCCTCTCCTGCCATTCTTTCTCCTTCTGGGCGATTTCCTCCCGGACCCTTTTCAGCTCGGCCTCCATATTTTCCTTTGCGCGCTTAGCTTCCACAAGAGTGTTCTCAATGAGAAGCGCTATATCCGATGCGTAAAGGCGGACCAGCGGGGGCACTGGACTACAGCAACCTAGTACGCCTTGCGGTTCGATTGGCATTCGGTCGGCCAGCGTATACAACATGTGGTTTGGAAGGACATATCGCTGAGACTCGTCTTCTTCTCTTGCGATATGGTCTCTCCACGCATGGATTGCGCGAAAAACCGCAAACTGCTCCGCATTGAGAGCACCACCGTATTTGCGCAAACCATTCCGCCAGCCGTTTGCTCCCCGGCCATTTTCCGAATCGTATATCTCTTTCTCGTATCTTTTCAAAGCTGTTTGCTGAGAGCGGTCCAATGTTGCACGCAGAAGGTTTTGGGTTTCTGGATTTGACATATTCAGTAATTCATTCCGCATTCGATCATATATGTACAATAAGTAATGTGTATCACTGCGCGCATATTTAAGCATTTCGGTGGGTAAAGGTCTGTCGGTCAATAGAAAGTAAGTTGTCCGAATTCTCGAGTTCCAGACATAAAATTGGCACACGACACTTACCTTATCCTCCAATCTGCTAGCTGATACTGCTTATTTGTTTCAACACTGCAGTAGTACTTCAGCAAAAACGCCAAGCCGTGATGCGCCATTTCCAATACATGAGATGCATGATATGTGTCAAATAGATTCACAATGTACAGTCCAAAGTCCCGCTGAAGCCACTGAATATCCATATCCGCACCATGAAAGACCTTTAAATCGAGAGTGAGCCGTCCATCGCAAAATTTGCTATTTGGCTGGTGCACGCCAATCGTACCTTTACGATTTTAGGGTTCGTAAAACTTGAGTTTAATACGTGCAAGTGACTTCGAACAGCAAGCGCATCAATAATGAAATCCTCTGTTCTTGTCGATATCTGTATAAGACACACAAAGCCTTGAAACGAGCGATAGTCGTGGTGCTAAATGACCCATATGATTATTTGCAATTGCAATACCCGATAACACATTTTGCATATTCATACCTCTGTATCAACCGCTATTTCATTGACAGATTCCAGGAGTGCCGCAAGCTCGTCCAACTTCTCCTCAGTGTCGATCCATGTATACGGAGTCTGATCCATCGCTGCATAAAGCTCCTCAGGACGCGCCTCAAACATATGAGCAGGATATTCAATATTCTGTATCTCGTACTCATAGGGGTGAGGAAGGCTATGCAACAACGAAATATTGTAGGCAAGTTTTGCACCAGTAGCGAAACACATTACACTGACCTGTAGTGTGACGAACTTGCATCGGTGATTCCTAGTGTTCTCAAGTGATCACTCATTTCAGGTGATATATCGGGTGTGCCAGGCATGCCATAGTTTAGCGGTTGCAATGCGTTTGGTTTATGTGTGATTTTGCGTACGAATGGTCGATTAGAGTTGTCGATTTTGTCCTCGAACTTTAGCTGTGGTCGTAGAATGTTCTGTGCGTGAATGACGTTGAAATTTCCCTTATTTCCTCCCGTGGCTTGCACTTGTAACATAACCGGAGCACTCTGGCCGGGTACATTCCCAGGAGCGTTCTTCTTTATTCGACCAGTGACTTCGTCTAGACATATATCCTGTATTCACAAGAACTTTAGAATTTCAATCTAAATGGCAGGGCACACTTTTTTATTCAATGCGCAATTTTGCACAATGCTTACCGCCTTCTCCAAAAGGTTGTCCACCGTATCCACCACCGTGTCATAGTGATCTATGACATCCTCCACATCCTCGAAACTAGAAAAGCGATCCCCGCCAATTGTCGATCCCCCGGCGGCATGAGCAAGTAGATCGTTGCAGAGTCCAAGTAGATTGTCTCCAGTTTTTGTCAGGCGCTCGTCAAACTTGGGAGACAATGACTTGTAAAAGGTCAGTTCGTTCGCTTTGAGGAAGTTGGATGCCTTTGTGACTTGGGTCAGCGCCGCAAATAGGGAGTTCTGGTACGCCTCAAAATTATCCTGAGTAATCCCGTCTTTCAGAAAAGGTTCATTGCCTTGGTCTGCCATGGTTTAAAAAAGAGAACTGGAAAACACGGGAAGGCGATGAACTCGCCAAAAACACTTCATGCTTAGTAATATCACGTGCCTAGACAACTGTCATGGCAACAAGAGATATTGAACTTTCAAAGGAATGGATGCTTGCTTGCATTGGGGCCGTTGTTTACGTTGTTTACGCCAAGTGCGAGACATGATGGAAAGCAATTGCGACGAGGAAAATATCAGAATACCTTGAAATTTATTTCCGACGTTTTACGTTACTCTATATTTTGGTTCATTATCTGGTCGTTTTCTACCAGTAGGCCCAGAGGGTTTGGAAAGTCATCACGTCATCGGGTGAGTCATTCCGAGATCCGAGACATCGCGCTCGTGTAAAGCTGTAAGAAGTTTTGCGACTTTGGGTAGATTGGACCTTGGAACTTGTCGAGATTTAGACGCACAAGCGGCATGCTAGTACCTTTCTCTACCACATTATCACTTGCTCGCACTCCCTTACGTATATCTTGCGTTCAACGTAATGTTCGCACTGCAGTTTTCGGTCGCAAGTTGACAAACTTTGGTGCTCGAAATTGCCGTCCCAAGACGGGAAGTGAACGCAAACAAGATAACAACTGGCGACAGTGGTATTCACGAGCCGGAAACCGGTCTTCACGATCTGGGAGCCATGGTTTCTCTCGAGGTCATTGGATACCTGCCTTTAGATGGGTGCTTGTAGGAAGTGTACCCATTCTTCAAGTGTCGAGTCCTACAACAGCGAACTCTCTTTTGCCACGGTCGCCGACCTTCACCCAACCCCAAGCGAAAGCACATGTTCTATCCAGAAGAGAGAGCAGGCTGCTAAAGGATGACTTGCTTGATCTCGTCGATGGTGCTATATCCGCAATTGTTACCGTTTTTCGCTTGTCGTGGCGCTTCGTGCAACTAGCCTTACTTTTTGGACCTGTGATTGTAACGTTTCCAGTGTGGTACTTGTGTGAACGACATACTTTAAAGCTGGGATTGACACCGCGTTTGTGGTGGGTTCGCTTCTTGGTGTGGAGTTTTGAAGTTAGTGGTCCTACGTTTACGAAGGTGCTGGCCCGTCTCTGTTTTCCGTATGTGCACCGCCATTCTTACTGTTATTTGGTGCGCAGTTAGGACAATGGGCTAGCTCGCGTGCCGATCTATTCCCTCCGTACGTATGCGCCATTCTCTCGCGCCTGCAATCGCAGGTTACTCCACATTCTTTAGCACAAACGCGGAAAGCTATCAGGAAGGAATTTGGAATGGACTTAATGGAGCTCTTTGAAGAATTTGATGAGAAGCCGATTGGGGTTGGGGCGATCGCTCAGGTACGAAAATGGTCCCTCAATGCTCGCCTTGAATGGTTTATATATCCCCAAGTTGTAGGTTTATCGCGCCCAACTCCGGCCGTCTACGGCGACACAAGCTTGTTCAACACTTCATTGCGCGGTCAAGGTTCTCCACCCGGGTGTTGATTTCATGATCCATGCGGACCTAACCATCATGCAGGCTGTGGCGTCAATCATCAACCTATTACCCGATGCCGAATGGCTGTCACTTCCAGAGGAGGTCGCCATGTTTGGAAGTATGATGCGGGAGCAGCTAGACTTGCGGCATGAGGCTAGAAACCTGGACAGATTTTCAAATAATTTCAAAGACCGCCCTGAAGTTGGATTTCCAAAACCTATCACCTCCCTTGTGCGGAAAACTGTCCTTGTGGAGGAATACGTCGATGCAATACCGATGAGCAAGTTTTTGACGTATGGACATACGCCATTCGACCATGATTTGGCGAAGATCGGGCTGGATTCTTTCCTGGTAATTGAAGTTTGGCATGATTTGGCGTGAGATTGGGGGTTACGATCGATGACTATTAAACCAACTGTTAATTTGCCAGAAAATGCTGGTGCTGGATAATTTCGTACATGCAGATCTTCATCCTGGTATGCCATTTTGATGATCATTTACAACAAGCGCAAGCGAATTCACTCTCTTTGGAACAGGGAACATTTTTGTAACATTTCGTCATGTGACATCCCGTACATGGCAGAGTTTGTTCAGACGGACGGGAGTGAGCGATGCCCCGGAAGACATGATCTCAGCAGCTGAAATTGCCAGACTGGTTGCGCTGACGCCTGCAGAATGGCCCGTTGCAATGGAACGATTGGCCCGCGAAAGATACCAGCCGCGTCTTGTTTTCCTTGATGCAGGGCTGGTGTCTGAACTATCGCCAGAGAATTTGCGAAACTTCCTTGATCTATTTCGTGCCGTTGCAGAGTTCGATGGTACTCGCGTCGCCAAACTCATGATCGAGCGGTCGCGCACTCCGCATACAGTCATTGACCCCGAAGGGTTCGAAAGGACCATGGCTGACTTTCTAAATGAAGTGAAACGGGAGACATTGAAGCTTGGTAACATCAAAGTAGGAGATATTCTTGCAAAGGTCTTCACCATGGTGCGAACACATCATATCAAAATTGAAGGTGACTTTGCCAACGTTGGGGTCAGCATCATGCTATTAGAGGGAATGGGGAGAAGACTAGATCCGGATATTGATCTCTTGAAGGAAGCCTTACCTATCCTAAGGCAAGCCGCCCGGGAAGGAAAGGGTGGTGCCTATCAAAAGAGTGCCCTTCGCGAGTTAGGCAGTGGTAAGACATACTGGAAAGTATGGGTCTACCATACAGTCAAGCCACTGCTCCTGGCAGCGGAAGTGGTCAACATACCTATATATGAGAAGGCAAGGATATACTTCCCCGAGTAGAGAAAGTTTATTTATGATACATTACATACATTAGCAACAAGAGGTTATTTACAATTGATGGAAGCGCCAAGTATTCCTCAGTCGTCTGCAGCCTCAACTTGTATATATTCGACATCGTGTTCCACTGCAGCCAAGTCATCATCAGAGTATGAAAAGTCGGTGTCCGCGTTGTCGCCCATCAACGCTTGCTTTACCCTATTCGTTTTCGGGACTACGTAAGCCTGCCTACCAAAAACTCTCGGGGGATCCTCTTCTCCAATATTATCGATGACTCGTTCTCTCTCTTTGCCATCCAGAATATGGCCTGCGTCAGGTCCGTCTTCGACAACGTCTGATAATCTTGCAACGCCCTCAGCCAACGTTATCATATCCACCAATGTATCATGGTCAGCATCTTCCTTCCAACCTCCTGGTATGAGGGTCTTGATTTCATTGACCTTATCGTGATCGCTTTTATGATTGGTTTTACAAATATCGATTACTTCATCCACAAAGCTCTCTATACCACAGAACTTGTCAGCTGTTGCCTGCGCGTGAGCTTATGTATCTCCTACCTAATGTCTCATGATCAACATCAGTGAGTACATGTTGCGCGACAGTAAGTAACAGAAGTCGCGCATCCCGTGCCGTGTGTGGGGCATCCACGTCGATAGGAATCTGAGTGGAATTTACTTTTGAAGGTGTGTAGAAATCTACCGTTTTCCGGGAAAGTTTATAAGGAGAAAACTTTTGGTGAAGGTAGGAATAAATACTATTTGATCCGGATTCGGGCTTTATCGAGCGCAAACTATCCCGATGTGCGCGGGATCCAAAATCTCTACGAACGATACGAATGAGTCACACTGAAGTCTGTTGAAATCGCAATGCTTTCTATTGTTACCTTGGATCTGCAACAGATGCAAGACTTTGCGCCAAGTCTTGCCATATGTGGGGCTCCTCCTTCGTGACCTGCCGCGGGGTCCAGTTGTCCAAGACAGAGTCCTCTCGCCGGATTTCCTCAGCGTAGTTGTAGGGATCCAACTCGAGAGAATTCACCTCATGGTCATGATAGCCAATTTGGCTTCGGAGATGCGTGTTTTTCCAAGTCTCTGCTTTGTCCATTATTCCAGTCTTGGCAATGAGCGATGTGTAGGAAGGTTAACAGATGCGTTGAGGCTCATCATTCTTGGGGCCCTTACGTACATCGGCTGTGCCACCAGCGCGAGTCATGATGTCCTCTTGGGGGACCGGACGTTGAACGGCATTAAGCAATGCGGTTGGCAGCGACTGGCCAGGCGAGCGCACTACGACCCAGCGTAGAATACGCTGTTTCCCACTTGCTTGGTCTATTTCAATATGCTTGATCTCCTTGTCCATCAAGCAGATCGCAACCGCAAAGTGTGCAGTGTCCAGAACCACAACGACATTTAGAAATATCATATGCCCTGGGACATCCATCATCCCAATCAATACGCAAGCTAGATGGAATGATGCAGGACGGCGACTAAAAAGGAGCGTTGGAGCATGTTAAAAAGCGATATCCCGAACAACAGAACTTTAAGTTGGAAATCATGTGCAAACCGGTTGGAACCAGAGATGAGATGTCGACGACGGCAAAACCTTCAGTGCGTTGTTTGGCACGAGGAAAGCTACCAAGGATCGTCGTTTCTCGACGTTTGCCTGCTTGCAATCAGGCTTTGTGTTAAAAAGGCTTCTTGCAAGCTTTGCTATTGTGTAGTATATACCGACACAGCCGTTAGGTAACTATTCCTGTCCTTTGGGAGACAGAAATCAACTATTTTACATCTGACAGGGTCTCCACATAGGCGCGTGGATTGACGCTATGTCGAAACAAAAAGTCGTTCTCCCGCCGGCGCTAGCCAAGTTGGTGGTCCAATATGTGCAGCACAAGAAAACGATCAGTCGTGGTGCGCTCAGTGTCGCACTACTAGCGCTTGCCATTCGTATTCGTTCGGCAGTGAGCGGCAAGAAGAAGGGTAGTGGTAGCGATGATGCCGTCCGGCGCAGCCGCAGGGGCAAGGGAGGAAAGGAAGGACCCCGTGCTGATGTCGATGCCGTCTTTTTCCGGCGATTGTCTCGTCTCTTGCGCATTATCATTCCCGGCGTGTCATCAAAGGAATTTTGGCTTCTCAATTTGTTCTCGGGCTTCCTACTGGGAAGGACCGTCCTCTCCTTGTACGTAGCCGAGCTCGATGGGCGCATTGTAAGCGCCTTGGTTCGAGGTCACGGCAAACAGTTCCTACTTCATATTGTGTATTGGATGGCTGTAGCCGTCCCAGCCACCTACACAAACAGTATGCTCACGTTCTTGCAAAACAAGCTGGCCATTGCTTTCCGGACGAGATTAACAAACTATCTTCACGAGAACTATTTGGAAGACATGACCTTTTACAAGGTTGGAAATCTCGATGATCGTATCAAGAACGCTGACCAGCTGATCACTCAGGATGTGAGCAAATTCTGTTTTGCGGTATCCGAGCTGTATGCCAATTTAAGCAAACCCACCTTGGACACTGTGCTCTATAATCTACAACTGGCCCGCAACGTTGGCGGAGAAGGAGTTTTTGGCCTCAATGTTATCGTTCATTCTTCTGCGTGGGTGATTCGAGTTCTTACCCCTGCGTTCGGCAAAATGGTGGCAGAGGAACAACGCTTGGAAGGGGAGTTTCGATACACGCACTCTCGTCTCATCGAGAACGCTGAAGAGATTGCGTTATATTCCGGCGACGCGGTTGAGAAAGGCAACCTGGACAGAAGCTATTTTGCCTTGATCCGCCATGTCAATCGCATCTTCAAGACACGGATCTGGCACGGAATGATGGAGGACTTTATCATCAAATACTTTTGGGGTGCTATGGGAATGGCGCTGTGCGGAATCCCCGCATTCTTCGAATTGCCCAATGCCTCTGGAGGAAATGACATTGGTAGCCGTACACAAGGATTTGTGACAAATCGCCGTTTGCTACTCAGTGGCGCTGACGCGTTCGGTCGTATCATGTGAGCTCCTTGTTGGTAATCTTTATTCGCTTCAACATGTCTCAAATTGAAATTTCATTTTTTAGGTACTCATACAAGGAAGTAACTGAACTCGCTGGTTATACCGCCCGCGTGTCCGAATTGCTTACCGTTTTCGATGACTTAAAAGCCGGCAAATTTCAAAAGACACTTGTGTCGAACGCCAACACTGACATTCTGAAGCACCGTGGTAAAATCGAGGAAGCGAATATTATCCAGTTCAGTAACGTGCCCGTAGTGTCGCCCAATGGTGACGTCCTTGTCAAAGACCTTAGCTTCCACGTGAAACCTGGTATGCATCTTCTGATCGTCGGACCGAACGGGTCTGGGAAGTCTTCCTTGTTCCGCATTCTCGGTGGGTTGTGGCCGGTCTACGGGGGTACCGTCAGCAAGCCGCACTACAAGAAAATCTTCTACATTCCTCAGCGACCGTATTTGTCTCTCGGAACCCTACGTGACCAGATTATTTACCCCGATACTTACGCAGAGATGCAGGCGAAAGGAGTCACCGATGAGCAGTTACAAGCTATCATGGAAGTTGTGCAAATTGGCAATCTCGTCGAACGTGAGGGAGGATGGGATGTTGAGAAAGACTGGAAGGACGTTTTGGCGGGTGGTGACAAGCAACGTATAGCAATGGCCAGATTGTTTTACCACCGTCCCCGGTACGCCATTCTCGATGAATGTACGTCCTCTGTCAGTATGGACATTGAACGTATCATGTACACCCACGCCCAAGACCTCGGCATCTCGTTGATTACTGTCTCACATCGCCCTAGTCTGTGGAAGTATCACAACTGGATTCTGCAATATGATGGTCAGGGTGGTTACGTGTTCACAAAATTGAATGCTGAACGAAGATTGGCGCTCCAGGAGGAAAAGAACGCGATTGAGCATAAGTTGATTGAGGTACCGAAGGTGGAGAAAAGGTTGAAGGAGTTGCGAGCAATAGTGGAAGGCAGATCTGCAACGGGAAGCGAAGCAAGTGACTCGAGCGAGATCAGCGACGTGGAATAGGTGCATCCAGCCAATACTGGCCATGGATTTGACATTTATTGGATTAGTGCTACCGTATCAGAAGAGAGCATTCCCTACTTTTGATAGATATTTGTAACTCATATATGTGAATGATGCTTGAGAGGGTAGTAAATTTCGTTTATTATGCACCGGCCTCCAAGCTTTACCCTACTGTTATCCTAAGTTCGCCCTCTATCTGAAAGCAAGCTTCACTAGCGCTGACATTCCCCGGCCTTACGTCTATCATTGAGAACTAATTAGGTTATCTCTGCCACTCATCTGCTGTAGGAGCCGTGTTATTCAACTAGCCAAAGAGAGGGCCAGCCAAGGCCTAGGACATACCATCTCCCCGAAGTCGCCGCCAAAAGGGAAGTGGGAGCCAATACTGTGAAAATGAGAAAATTCAATTAACCACTTCGCCATTGGCTTACAGGCAAGATGGAGTGCTTACCGCAAATATCCCCAAGAAGAGCGTGTCTTCTTCAGGCACTAAAATCCAAATATATCTCTCAATGAAGTAGCGGTTCGAAGGTGATTTAAAGAAAAGTGGGTAACGATATACCGTGAACCGTGCTGAAAAACTTGTAATCGCGTCTTCGATAAACCAATGTCGATATGCTTGACAGGAATTTACGTGAAACCCAGGAAGATCCTGAGTCCTTTAGCACCTGAGACGAGCAAGAATGTCAAATCATTAACTATTATCCTACAATAGAAGTACCCCATATAAAATACTCATAGTACTTTGTCCACATATCGCCGAAAGCTTTCTGTAGCAACCAGTGAGTCGAAGATATTCCATTAGAGCGGTTTCTCATATAGGTCGAGAACGGCCATGCAGACAAGACACTGCACCTTCGTCCGGGTTTCTACGGGCGTCGTAAAACCAAAGGAAGTATTAAGTGTTACTCAGTATGCAGCCAACAGTCCTTTATTCTTACGTTGCTAGCGCTGCAGCGAGAACGACAATCAACAGGACAGTGCCGAGTCCTCTCGGCATTTTGGACAGGAAATAAAGGACTCTATTAGAGAGCAGGTGGGTTTCCGAGCTGGCGGCGAGATGGATGGTCAACGCTGATGACGAGCCGATTATCAGCGACCGACGCTGCGCCGCGCCAAGCCACTTGATTACTTAGATAGTTAAATGACATCAAGCCTCACACGTGGTCCCATCCTCGCTGGCAACGAAACTCGGCAAGGCGCGGTACGCAAACCCATTCCTTCATCCGATAGTGGTTTCTTACATCATGAACTTGGCTGTACGTGCCGCAGTCATCGGCTCACGACGGGGAATCCTGTCACCAGCCGTTGACTTTCCCGCGACTTCCGTCCTTGGCTCCACTTTGTTGACTCCGAGACTCACTAGGGCTTACGGGTAAAGCTGAGATTCGTTTTGCGCATTTGAGAATTGGAAGTAGAAAAATGGAATTTGGTTCCTATTCACACCTACGATGCTTTTGCATAGTGGTAGCGATGAAGCGAAAGCAGCCCCGGAACCCCTAAGAGGAGTAGCTGCCGAGCTCTGGACTGACCAACAAGTCCCGCAAACACTGAAACCGGACTCGGATCCCAACGCTCTTTTGCAACATCCCCTTTACACTCCGCCGATGAAGCCTCAAACTGGTATTGGCCCTCTTATAGCCCCTTTGAAGTGGCCAGAGTACGACCAGAAGATGCCATCAAGCGAAGAATCTGGGCTTCCGTCGCCTCCCAACTGGCACGACCGAGGCTTTGATGACCCAGTATCTGCTCCCATCGGGGATTACCCTCGTATTCGGCCCCAGTTTGCCCAGTTGAGGGATCCTTTCAAGTACTGGGATCAGCAGGGACGGCGTGAATATGGTGAGGTCTTGTACGACCACGATAACTTTACCGACATGTGGAGTATCGGTCCGGAAGTCCATTGGTGGGTCCCGTTCAAGCACTGCGCGAAGCTTTTGGGTATAGTGGCCCTGATGGGCGCCTGCGTGCACTGGTGGGATCCCGAGAAGCATTTGTGGTTTGTACGTATCTCTCCTCGCAGATTATCGCTGATGCGAAGAATTAAATGCTGACCTGACTCTGTTTATGCAGGCGGAGAAGGACTACCCGTTCAACGGCTTGCGGGTGGAACTTGGTGGAGACCCCAACGACGAAAATGATACATTCCATCGGGTATACCCTAGTGGTTTGTTTGTGTTCACTACAATCGTGCTTACACAAATCTGCTGTTACTACAGACAAACGTGTACAAGATATAGATTAGCGTCCTTAGGGCCACACCATCATGTCCTTTCCAAAATAAAAAATCCCGATTATACCTTGATTAGCTCTAGAATGGCCGTTGCCAGGACATGGACATTATCTGTATCTATTGGTGGGACTTTGAACGAAAAGAACACCTCATTGAACATTTATTTTCCAACGGGTCTGATGGGACAGGCTATTTTTCTTTCCGACAGAACCCACATGGCTGCTTCTATGAGCCATATCTAATTTGCCGACTCTATCTGCCTTAATCCTGGTAAAATGTTTTGATAATGATGCATGGATGTACGTGTTCCAGTGGTCTTGACCCGCTGACGGCATTACGCCTTTACGAGGGACAACAGAAACTTTGAATTTGACACCTAAATTGGTACCATATCATTAGGGACATCATTCGGTAAATTAAAGCTGACATCCAAGTGTCGTTCCTGCACATACCTCTTGGTCTTTTTCAAAGATGATATTTGCGTCAGGTTTCCGTTGGTCGAGATGCTCAATGGGCTGTTTGAGAGCTTTCAGTAAAAACTCCCGTTGCCCATCCAAAACCTTGGCGAGTTCATCGCTCGGGTCTTCGACCATTTTGTAGTAGTAAAGCACTTCGTCTGTGGGTTGGAGTCCGGCCTGCATTCATACATAACTGGTGAGCACCGAGGAGCGATGGACGAGCACAGAAAGATAGATATGTCACGGCTTACTTCTTTTCGTAATCGTTGCACTCGGTTGATGATTTCTCGTGCCAATCCCTCATCGATCAAGGACTGATCTAGACTCGTGTCCATAATCACCAGGACTTCATTTGTGCCATGTGCGTGGTAACTCGTATTGGCAGTGTCGTCGAAGTATCGAGTCACCTGAAGATCTCCTTCGCCAAGCACGATACCCCCGACTTCCAACTGCTGTGTCTTCACATATTGCTTGATAGCCTCTTGAGAGACACTTGGCAGTGCGTTCTTCACCTTCGGTAGTTCCTTCTTCAACTTCCCTCCCAAAGTCTTCCAATCAGGAATGAGCTTGTACTTGATTCCGTACTTTTCTTCTTCTGCTGTAATGGTAACAGTTCGGATGTTCAACTCCTATTTATCGGTGCAATCTTGAGCTTCCAAGAATCACATTGAGTCTAATGCACTGGTTATAGATTACCTCAATGATGTATGATTCCAAAACCTTGACATCAGAATGGAATTGGGGATCAGGGTTGATAATAATCAGCTCCCGCAAAGGTGTCTACGCGTAGCATGTATCTTAGGACTCTGGAGAACGGCGCAATCGAGGTAGCTTCTACATACCTTCATGGGCAGAGTCTTCTGGTCCCGAATAAAGCGACCCAGTTCGATCACCGTTTGCATTCGCGAAACGGCTCGTTCAATGTCATCGTTGAAGTACTCTTTTTTCACCTCAGGGAATGGCAGGAAGTGGATACTTCTGGTGTCTTCCTTCGAAGGCGGCAAGCATGTCTTCAAGTTTTGGTACATGGTCTCGACAATGAAAGGAGTGAAAGCCGCCTGTGACGAAAAATTTCACACAAACACACAAGAAGTTAGATGTCTCATTTGCCTGCAAAAACGTCGTTGACGACCCTTACCATCATTTTCGCCAAAGTGAAGAGCACCTCGAACAAGACATTTAAAGCCTGGACGGCATCGGCGGGGCCATTGTCACCCTTCAGGCGCTTACGGTTGAACCGGACATACCAGTTCGTGAGAGAGTCAATTAAATTGAGCAACCGCGGTGTGACAGTGTACAATCGGTACGCTTCAGGCTTCTCGTTAGATTAAAACATATATCCTTTTGGTCACCTTCGCCTTACCGGCCATCTCAGTTCGTACGAACTCGATCAAGGTCTGTGTTGAAGCCAAAACCCATCGGTCCATCACATTTTGCTCTCCAGAGAGATCCATATTTGGATTGTAAACGAAGTCAATATTGTGTTCCTTTAGAACATCAGGGTGAAAGTCAGCGACAAATGGTCATTGAACCATCCTTGCATCCGCATTATACCTTCTTCAACAATGCCAACTGAGCAAAGAAGAACCGGTACGCATTGTACCATGGCAAGAAAACCTTTGCCACAAGTTCTTTCACCCCCTCTTCCCTAAATCTTAGATTCTCGGCGCGGACCGCAGGAGAGTTAATCAGGTACAACCTGTTTACAGTATTACAAAGAGATTAGATATTTGCGGATGGCAAGGTTTTCCCTCTCATTAGCACATACCTTAGAACATCAGCGCCGTACGAATGCATGACTTCATTTGGATCGGGATAGTTCTTCAGTCTCTTTGACATCTTTTTTCCATCGCTGCACAAGGGGTACGGGGTTTAGATGGCATCCACCAGCTTGTTCATGTTCACGAAACGAGAAACATACGACGCAAGAACAAGACCGTTAACAATCACGTTCTTGAACGGGGGTTTGTCAAAAAGATGCGTTGAAAGGACCATGAGGGTATAGAACCATCCACGGGTCTGGTCAACGCCTTCGGCAATGAAATCCGCCGGGAATGTTGACTCAAATTTCTGCTTATTCTCGAAGGGATAATGCTGCTGTGCGTAAGGCATACTAGGACGAACAGTCAGGAATATTCAAGTAAAACAATCAGAACGGACGGTACCTTCCACTCTCGAACCAACAGTCAAACACTTCTGGTACTCGTTTCAGTGCTCCTTTTCCTTGCTTTGACGGAATGGTAATATGGTCGATTCTGCAACAGACATGCGTCAACGATCATTAAGAGAGGAAGCGAATTGGTGATTCACAACTCACTTGTCACGATGAATATCGGTCAATTCTTCGCATCCTGAAAGAGCGCGCAGTTCCTCCACGGAGCCCACAACGACGATCTACATGGGATGGGTGAGGTTGTGTTGTGCGCCTGAATGTACAATCGGATGTCGTTCACCTCTTCGTAGTCGTCGCTTGCCCACAATGGAATGGGCGTACCCCAGTATCTATTCCGAGACACATTCCAGTCTCTGGCATTCTCGAGCCAGTTATGGAATCGCTTTTCTTTGATAAAATCTGGTACCCTATTTGAAGCCTTTCATTCAAATTGCCTGCAACTACCTGAATAAAAATCAATACGAACTTACCAGTACGTCTGATCATTGTTCTTGATGAGCTTGTCATTTATGGTCGAAACCCTCACAAACCACCCCGGAACCGCTTTGTAGATGAGGGGTGTATCAGACCTACATTACATAGGTGGACGTATTATGACAGGGCTTTGACATGAAAGTGTTCGACGAGCACATTGTTCTATACCTCCAACAGAATGGATAGCTGTGGGAAATCTGGGATTGTCTAATTAATCTGCCCCTTCCCTTTAGATCCTTCTGAATCTGCTTATCTGCATCCTAAGAGGGTGCAATGACATCGTCAGCGACAGGAAGGTCAGGAACAAGAATAAAGACATGACATGTTAACCTTGATGAAAACCCCAGCATAATCTGTGATTTCGGCAGTGAATTTTCCAGTGGCGTCGACAGGATTGGGGAGATCACCCTCTCCTGTTACAATGCCATGTTCTGTGCAGACTCGGTAATCGTCCTCACCAAATGCCGGTGCACAGTGGACAATCCCGGTACCACTGTCATCCGTCACATAGGTATCTGTCATAACTTTGAATGCTTTGCCCTTACGCTAGCGGTGATTGTTCGTGAGAATGAGGTATCGGCGTGGTTTCAAAACTGACACGTACATCGGCGAAGTAGTCGAACAGTGGTTGGTACTCCACTCCCTTCAAGGAGCTGCCCTTAAGCTTCTCCAATACTGTAAACTTCGCCTTTTTGATGTCTTTGTAAAGAATATCAAGGCGCTTCTCCAAAAGGATCCAGACTGCCCCAGTCTCATGATCTACCAAGGCTAGTTCAGAACGCAAAGCATCACAAGGCTATTCACCTCTTTTATCATTCCTAACCTTTGATCTTGATATAGTCAAATTCCGGATTCACACACAGAGCCAAATTACTTGGCAACGTCCAAGGTGTCGTTGTCCACGCAAGGAACGCGACTGAAGGATCACTGAGCAGTGGAAATGAAACGACAACTTTACAGTCATCTTATCAGCACCCAGTTCTCCATAGATCCCTGACGCACATTCACTTGTCCCTTACCAGCCGGGTCAATGACATCTTTGTAGTTCAAGTTGGCCTCAAAGTTGGAAAGGGGCGTGGTCACACCGGTTGAATAGGGCATAATCTATACGAACATGTTAGACCCTTGTATTTGCGAGCGAAATAGCAATGTATTTAATCGCTCCACCTTGAATCCGCGGTAGACTTGGTCTTTGTCATATAGTTGCTTAAACACCCACCACACGGACTCCATGAACGACAAATTCAACGTCTTGTAGTCATTTTTGAAATCGATCCACCGTCCCATGCGCGTCACAGTGCTTTCCCACTCAGATGCGTACTTCATCACAATGGCCCTACACTCCGCGTTGTACTTGTCAATACCCATCGCCATTACGTCTGCTGGTCCAGTGATGTTCAGCTTCTTGTCAATCTCGTGCTCCACAGGAAGACCGTGTGTGTCCCATCCGAATCGACGTTCGACGTAATGTCCGGTTAGGGCAGCATACCGTGTAACAACATCCTATTTTGCTCACACATTATCACCGCGTTTCAGAGAGGTCAAGGAGCAAGCAGTGGGATCTAACCTTGATAGTTCCAGCCAGTAAATGTCCATAATGCGGTAAGCCAGTCGCAAACGGAGGACCGTCGTAAAACGAAAATCGAGGTCGACCTTCGGCCAGTTTCAGGGAAGTTTGAAAAGCATCGATATCCTTCCAAAATTGCAAGACTCGCTCCTCTTCTTCAGGAAAGGAGGGCTTTGCCGGAACTGTTAAGAATAAGAGAATTATTATCGTCTTTCTGATAGCCAACTAGTATAGAACTGTAATGCTCACTCTCAGGAATGCCCATTTTGGATACCTGCGCTTTGGCAGTCAACAGAGAGTGAGGTAATAAAGAAAACTTTGGTCGAAACGGCGTCAATAAGCGTAAGTTTGGGAAAACGGTGTGAGTTCGCTTGTATAGTTTGACCACTTTCGACATGCAGCGTTGCTCGAGGAGCGTTTGGCCTTGTGTCGACAGTCTGGTGGAAGGCAGTGAGGTGTCCTAGTCATCTAATCACTAGGCAACGGCCGTGATGGTGGCTGTGAAGTTCATCTATCTTGGCCATCACCGTGTTGCCCATTGTTGGGAGACGACGATGACGAGAAACGCCCAATGAATGCTCTCCATGTAGCAGGCGAAGATGGAAGGCCCTCCGCTATGCTCCGTGGGATGTTTCCCAATGTATGCAGCTTGCTACAGTATTTGGAGGCCATTGGTGCAAACCAGTCAATCCTGCTGGATGCCGTACCATGGAGCCCTTTAAACCCTGGAGATCCTCCAAAGTACCACCAGTTTCTGACAACCACTATGGTTGCTCGTTCCCTAGAGTCAAAGGAACCTTTACCACCGTCTCAAGGAGAAGTGATTTTCTCTCAAAGCGAGGTTTGCAAAATTGGCCGCATAGTTCATTTGGAAGCCGCCGGGGTTTTGTGCCTTAGTAAAATAAAAATGTGCGATAGATTGTCAACAGTGCCATTGAGAAGATTCTAAAGGGATCCGAAGGAACGGCAAACGTGCTAACTTTTGGCTATAGAAAAGTGAGAAAATTGCTCCAGCTAACTTTCATCTGACCTGATCTACAGCTACCCAGTTCTCTCCGTTCGTAGCTCAGTGGCAAAGGAGGAAATAGAGTTACCGGGACTCACGGAATTGAGAACTTTTTTCCTAACACGATCGTGAACTACGTTAAGGCACCCGTTTGGGAGATGCTGCTGGGAAGGTGCCATTATTTTCCTTGAAACGCCCCAGGCAACCTATCCCTAATTGGTGTACATATTTTTCAGAATTGGAGTAAGGGCAATGACAGACCTTTTGTTAAACACGACGATGTTCATGGCACTGCATGATGGATGCTATGTGCAAATTTCGGGTAACTTCCCAATTTAATTGGTTTCAACATCCTGGGCCCGTCCCTAATATCCACTCAGGTGTTCCAGTAACAGATGGGCCCCTCTCTGCTGCACTTTCTAGTCCATTGACAATAATGTCAAAGTCACGAAAGCGTCACGCCGTTGATGATATGCCCCTAAGAAACGAGGCGGGCAAGCGCATCAACGCGTGTGCAGAGGAAATGGGGACTGATGTAAAAGCTCCAGGCTTGGCTATGGACAATGTCTGCTTGTTGAACCAATCTACACGATCCAAGACCGTGCAGCGAAAATTGCAGAGGTTGTATAGATACAGCCGGTCTGTTCTGCTCCAATTTAACTCCATTTTAATGAAGTTGAAATTCCCAGCCATCGGACTGCCGCCATATGCTTTGCACATCGCCGTATCTTCTACACTCGGCCTGTTCGAGGTTCGAGAAATACCTTCATTTTCGGTCTCCCCAAGACTCGTATGTCTTCTGCCATATATATTCGACTGAACAAGTGGACACCAGGGCTGACGCTATTTGTCCCTTCCGTGCCATTAGACGTCTTAAATCGGTATAGGCTGGCGCTGAAACAAAAGACGCGACTGATGCTATGCTATATTTTTCCCCGTCAATTTGACTTGGAGAATGTGTTTACCTATGCTGGGGAGCATCCTTATCAATGTCCACCAGAGTTCCATGATCGCGAACGCGATCTAGAGGTGATTGGACTGGATTAGCTATTGTCGGTTTGTGAGAGGTTAATGACATGTTTGCAGGCAGTCACTAAACGAAAGCTCCCTTGGAGACTAAAGAGGGCGGAGCACTTGGTCAATATGCTGATAGCACTCCATCAAAAATGTAACTTCCGCGCTTTGTTAGACTTCTATTGTCCGAGTCCGGTAAGGTCAGACAGTTATCCTTGGCTCGGCTGTATCTTCTAACGGCTTCGCTGCTCGAAAAGGTCTCATTAGAGAATGATAGTTCAGCAAGCCTAGATCTACTGAGAGCCCACACTTCGTTCTACCAGGTCAGAATCATACTCAAAGCGCTGGGTTGAAAATCTTTATGCAGTTGCCCACGGGAAATATCAACACAGGTTACTGCCTTCCTGCGAGCGGTGATTTACGCTATTATTCCATTAGAGTTTTTTGGCAGCGAGCAAAATAGAGAAACAGTCATGAAAGGTGTTTTTCGGTCATCGCTCGACTCTGAGGTAATGACATTCTAACAAGCTCAGCCATTGGAAAATTTGTGCGCCTCCGTCGATACGAGACTATGTCCTTGCAAAGCGTCATTACGCATTTCAAGGTAAGTATCTGGAGTATTCGTCTCGAGTGCTCTCGGGCTCTAAAAGAAATACTCTTCTAGATCAAAGATTGTTCGTGGGTGGTACCACCGAAATATAAAGAGCATCAGCCGAACCATATTCCTCTATCGGATATGGAGAAGAGGAAGGAATTAATCCTAGAGTTTCTCTACTGGATGGTTGATTCTTTCGTGATTCCCTTATTGAAGGTGCACCTCCGTTGGCGATTCTTTTGTGGATTGAACATGCAAGCTAATAGCGTAACGTTAGACCAATTTTTACGCAACGGAAAGCGCCCCCTATCGAAACAAGGTGTTCTATTTTCGCCATGATGTGTGGAGTCAGTTAACGGGGTCTATATCCAGTACATTATCCTGCACTGTGTTCCGCCCAATTGATCAGGTAACGTCTCAATCAGTATTCGCAATTTAGCAGCTTCTCATCCCTGATGGTAGAAGAATTCAATGCATGCTCCACAATCATGGCGTTCTTTGGGATATTCCTATATACGATTGCTTCCGAAAGACAAGGGTGTACGTATGATTACAAACTTACGTCGTCGCTTTCCAAAGAAGGTATACCATTAAGCTGCAATTGCTGGACGTTTGCATATTACTCATGCCCCATCTAGGCGTCAGGTGGCTTGACAATGCGATCAAACCGCCTATTAAACAACAATCCGCCGCCTACTGATGTCTCAAAACAAAGAAGTCTCGGGTTTTCAATCAACACAATTCTGCAGAACGCTTTCCAGATCCTTACTTACGAAAAGGTTCAGTACTACATGCATTGCCTGGGATGCATTCTTCGTAGATGCTAACAAACATCTGCTTAATTGCCCGGCAGACACGAAATCCGTCTCTACTGGGAGGGTCCGTCCTTGGGTTGAACGAAATCTACGGAAGACTGAAGGCTTTTCAACATCGATTGATGGGCTCCCATGGACTTCCACGCATGTATTTCTGCAAAGTGGATGTCGCCAGCTGTTTTGATACCATCGACCAGACCCTCCTGCTATCAATTATTCGAGATGTCTTTCAAGATGTACAGCTCGTTCTAAGTAAACCGTTCATTGCCCGTTTTGTTAACGTTTCTCAACATGTAGGATGAGTATGTCATTCAAAAATATTCTTTTGTTTATCCAAGCGCCGGACGCTTGAAAAGGACGTTCTTGCGTCGCGCACGACCCTCGGGTAGGACGAACCCTAACTTGAATAACAATTGCAATCCCATTAACCCACTGAAGAACAGGCGAGTTCCCTCAATTCGTTCAGTTGGCCAAAACGCTGGCTGAAGGGCTGCGAAATACCATTTTCGTTGACCAAGTGGGTGGAATAGTACCTCTTTTTCGAAGCTTAATTACTCATAGTTTGATGGTAGGTCGTATACTCCTTCGAAGAAAGGCAAAGGATCGTTGATCTACTGGAGGAGCATATTTGCAACAATCTTATAAAGGCGAGCTCCCATTTATTTCTCCGTTTGACATAGCAAAGGTGTTTGTTGATCTTACCAGATCTGTAGATGGGGAAGAAGCTGTATAAGCAAGTGGTTGGTATTCCACAAGGATCAGTTCTTTCTACCCTCCTATGCAGGTGGGAAATTACAAATGATGAACAAACCCTCCTCAATATTACTAACGCCACCTTTAGCTTTTTCTACGCTCACATGGAGCAAACGGAATTTGCTGATCTTAATATGGACAGTAGCTTGTTGCTGCGTTACGTAGACGACTTCCTTTTCGTTACCACGGTGAAGGAGGAAGCGCTGAAATTCCTCAGAATAATGCATGAAGGTAGTATGATAGGCTTTAGCACCAAATTTAAAATTTAACTTAATTGACTTTTCCGCTTTTTTCTGCATAGGACATCCTTCTCATGGATGCTTCATCAACCCGAAGAAAACGCTAGCAAATTTTGAGGTTAGCGGACAAGCAGACGCAATGTTCGCTGGGCAGGTCTTGAATGCGAGCGCAGGTACCGTACTAAAAGGGGTGAATAGATTTCACGACGGACTACTGAAGGATGTTCGCCAGCTTTTCCTTGGTGTGGGCTTCTTATTGACACACGAACGCTCAATGTGAAAGCGGACTATTCGCGTTTCGATGGAACATGTACGTTGTATACAGTGCTTGTTCAGATTACCGTTGAGGGTGCTCAGCTGACGCCATTACCTTTCATAGATATCAGCGATACATTAACAGTGGAAACAGCCTTACGTCCGGGATCTTCCCTTCGCCATAAGCTGTTTCAGTAAGTCCCCATTCTCGAGTGTTCTGAACATGGCAGCTAATGATGTTTCTTTAGGTTCCTCAAACCGAAATGCCATGCCGTCTTTCTGGATACCAATCTGAATTCGACCGCAACCGTGTTGCTCAATATTCATCAAAATCTTCATTTGTGTGCCATAAAATTCTACGCATACGTCAAGTCCATGAACTTGTCAGCATCTATGCATAGGACTGCCTTTCTCTACGGTAGGTTGACTTCTGGATAGATAGCGCCTGGGTGCCTTTCTAAAAACCACTCTGTGAAAGATGTCATCAAAGAGACAATCCGTTTTACCTATATGCTCATTCGCAGTCGAGCAAGCAGCAGCACTGCTGTTGCCAACCGGTGTCATTGTTCGATTACCGCAACTCAGATTGATTGGTAAGGAACAATTATCACGTTGATGACAGGATCTGGATGGTTAAACCTAGTCTCCAATGAACAGGCTTGGACTGCACGCTTTCTGTTTGGTGCTCAGGTGGAAGCAGACGCGCTTCCAAGGTCTTTTGAAAATGCTTGAAGATGATATGACTTCTGGGCGATTTCGGAGAGTGCGAAAAAGATTGCAAATTATCACGGATCCGAACCATTCAAAAGCTCTCCAGCATATTCGCTATTGAGATCATGGTGGGTCTGAAGCACGATGGTCGGGCGATTGGGGGACAGCAAAGGTAGAAATGAAACTTGGTGATGGAACATTTGTATCAAGGCATGTCCCTCGGAAGACCTTGAAAGTTGCGAAACCGTCCGCATGTTCACAGCCGCCATGTGAAGGTGACTTGCTAAAAGACTTGCACAGAAAATCGCTGCATAGAGCCAAAAGGCGAAGGCGGGCTCAAGTGAAGCCCGTATGACAGTGTGTTTTTCCTTTTTATGTACTATAAAATCAGCTAGTCTAAAGACGTACGTAGCTACGGCCAGATACTCTCTCGTAGAGGGACGCCACAAAGTCCTGTAAGGCTGAATCAGCATAAACATAAACAGAGGAATTACAGATGGCTTGTGCCCTACCCAGCATACTGCAAGGAGTGTACTCCAAAAGTCCCAATGCGGTAACATTTCTGGGAAACGATGAACTGTAGTAAAGCAAAGCAAACAAAAATCAGTTGATCATGTCTAGGTACGAAAACATGCAAGAACTCATACTTACTCCGTAACACAGTGTAATTGTAAGCAGAACCTATCACAAAGTATCCAATTGCGCCGATAAATAGAATCAGGCAGAATATTCCAAACGTGGACATCCCTCCCTTTCCATTTGGGCTATTCTTGGGCGTACTTGGACATCCAGCCTTTGACTCCCACTTTATTGTGATGAGCTTGTCGGTTTCCTCTATCTTCTCGGGCTTTCCTGGCTGCAGTCCAGAGTACATTTTTAGCACAAGTCACCAATGCAAAAGCCTACCACTAGTGACCCACCGAAGTGTTATCGTTGCAAATGAAGGAAACGTTTACGGTTTTTGAGCCTTTGGTTTCTGAGGCTTTGAACAAGAGGTCCAACGCCTGCCCGCGGGCATGAGGCTCGGGTCGAAAGTTAGAACCTCCCGCAAATTGTATTGCCTGCGAGAAGGTTATTTTAGGTTCACACATTTACGTGTATTACCAAGCGTCGTGTACATACCCTTAAAGTTATAGGAGGTTCACCCTCCCTCAAGAGCAGTTCCATCTTGTATCATAACGTCAACAGAGAGTTTAGTTATTTGGCTTGAAATATTAGTTGAAAATAAAAAACCGTACCCAGCAGAACCACGCATTGTCGCTACATTTGCCTGCATAGATAAAACATGTGAGCTCAAGAATCCCCATTACTTCAAATACGAGTCGTTCTCACTTTGAACATCGGCCCCAAACTTGGTTGTTATTGGTCCACACAGACTCCCTGCAATGGTCGTCTCCCACGTCACAACGTCACCAGCTTCAGGTTTCTTTCTAGTGGTTATATTGAAGTCCGGTCTGTAGACCAGGTGAGTGAGTGGCTCATCAATCTGTAGCAGCGTTTGTGTCAAATTTACTTCAAAGGAGATAAATCGTATATATACTGCTGAACGTTTCCGCCGCCCGTTATAATGTTGGAGCAATTATATTCGTTGACAGGCGCTGCAATTGCGCCAGCGCAGAGTATAGTTATCAGGAGCGCTAGTTGAAGACGCATCTGGGGATTGTGCTCTAACCTCTTGGGATGATCTGCAGATCCCGCGTCCGTCCCCGACTTCCAACGCACTTCATGCAGCAGTCACGTGGGCATTGTTGCCTATGCATCACATTAGGGTCAAAATATTCGTACGAGCTTACCGGGGCCCATGTTGGTCAAGACCTATTGGATGCGCTTTGAAGTAGCGCACATAATCCCCTTCATGATGACAGGGCTCATGACAAGTATATCAACCCCTTGCTATCATAGGATACTGAAATCTCGCTGAATGTACATTGGACAGACCATAAACTTTACATGAAGACCCAATGAGACGTATATACAAGCACACTCGCTCGGAGGTTAAACACAGTAGCGAGTGAGATATGGTTTTATCCCGTTTTGGCGACAGGATGCGCGACATCTATTGATGACGCGCGCCCTCTTCCTGACTTTCCTCCTTCTTCTTGCCTTTTGTCCGTTGTTCGCCAATTACGCCTTCTCCCGCAGTGTACTGCAAGCATGTATCTAGCATATGTACCACAATCAATGACTATGATGTTTACCTTTAGGGGAAATCCAGTCCGCTCTTGGTGAATCCGAGAAGCCTAGAACATCATGGTTAGGCGTCAACATGTTCACTAGAACCATATCACAAGGTGCGTTCAGCATCTCACCGACTCGGATTTATGAATCCTGTAATCCGCAGCAGAAGTTTTGCTCTTTGTGATTTGATTGATTTCATGACGGGACTTGTGAGATTCCTCAATAAGCTCCTTTTCTTTTTTCTGGCGATATATAAGCTATTGCATTAAGCATTTTGATATCATGCAGCATGTTTCCTTTACCACAAGCGGGTCGGATAGATCGTGGGCATTCATTTTGGGAACAAGGAAACTGTCTCCAAGCAAGAGTGCTGAGAATAGCTGTGAGCACAATCCAGACGCTGAGATACGTAATATCGTCGGCACTGCTGCAGTCTGCTGCGCTGTGATGACAAAGGTCGATCGCAGATGACACAATCAAATATCACGTGACATAACCTTAGCCTATTCCGTGGTTGCATTGACTCCCATGCTCTGGAGATCTCAACCATCTCCCTTGTCCCGTTCATAACGCAGACACGGCTATTCAAATGAGCTGGGACCTGGACACGTTCATTGAGCGTCTCTATCGCAAGCAGCTTTTATCAGAAGGTGTCGTAAAGGAGCTTTGTGAAAAAACCAAGGAGATCCTCGTTCGCGAAGGAAACGTCGCGCAGGTCTCGGCGCCAGTAACGCTTGTCGGCGACGTACACGGGTCAGTTAATGCTGTATCCGTGTGTAATGGATGGTTCTTTTTGCTAATGGACTTGACGACATAGTCAATTTTACGATGTGTTGGAGATCTTCAAGATTGGTGGATGGGCACCATTCACAAACTACGTTTTTCTGGGGGACTATGTGGACAGAGGATATTATTCTGTGGAAACCATCACGCTCCTCACATGCCTAAAACTTAGATGGCCGGATAGGATCACATTAGTGAGAGGAAATCACGAGTCCCGAGCCGTGACACAGGCAAGTTCTGCCACATCAATTTCAGAATGTGTGTCCAGATCTGACGGTTCTCGCACGTACAAACAGACCTATGGATTTTACACGGAATGCATGCGAAAGTACGGAAATGCCAATGTGTGGACGTATTTTACGGATTTGTTTGATTACTTGGTATTGTCAGTCGTGATTGACGATACGATTTTCTGCGTGCATGGAGGTATGTTTACTGCTTTCATCCGCCACCGGATGCCGCTGATTAAGGGATTCTTCCAAGGATTGAGCCCTTCCATACATACCATCGATCAAATCCGAGTAATAGATAGGTTCCGAGGTGAGTTTGCCCCTACTTTGGACCTCGCGACGAGACCCTAACAGTCTTGGTTTTGGACAGAAATTCCCCACGAAGGGGCAATGGCCGATCTGGTATGGTCAGATCCAATATCCACACCTAGCTTTGCATCCTTGGGAGGAGGGACGGACGAAAAAGGCGACTTTGCCATTTCTCCACGCGGAGCTGGGTATCTATTTGGGAAGGAGGTTACACGAAAGTTTCTGGAAGTGAATGGGATGGGGCATATTTGTAGGGCACATCAATTGTGTATGGAAGGCTACCAGGTCCGTTTCTGCCTGGTATATACTGCTGGCTTCTCACACGCTCACGGAACTATCACTTAGATTCTGTTCGACGATATGCTCTCAACGGTATGGTCAGCGCCAAACTACTGCTATCGCGCGGGAAATATGGCGTCCGTTTTGGAAATTGGACCAGAGCTCCGTCGCTATTTTAATGTCTTTGGACCCTGTCCGGACCAAGATCGGGATGCACCAGGACGGGATGCCCCCGGGTCCTCTGGGGATTTAACGGCGCATTATCCAGAGACGGGTGATGAGGAAGGAGCGGGTGGGAACCAATGGCGACGAAAGAAGGCAGCACGGAAACTGGTGCCAGGTGCATTGCGAGATCCTTTAGAGATTGATGACTCGGAGCTAACGGCGGTGACTGGGGGAGGAATAACAAAGGTATGCATTGTTGCACACACTAGAACTTTTGAAAGTCCCTTCAAAGAATGCCGGAGACACTGTTGGATTTTCTGCTGTTACTTATTGTTGTGCTTTCTTTATACTGTAGGTTGTCGCAGAGTACTTTCTGTAGACTGGAAGTAACTCTAGAATTCATTCAGAGTGACAGATAGGATTGGCGAATAAATTAGATTTGATTTCATGGGTACTGGTACCAAGCCGTTGTCCGGTCCACCTGGTGATTTATCTATTGATTGCATATAGCGACATTAAACCTATTAGTCCGTTTGAATATAAAGATGCCTCAGATAATGAGTGCCTCTGGTTTTATGCCTGATAGGACGCCAATCACGGAGTATTACTGATGATCGGGAATGACCTTCCGCAGCGCTCCGACGAAACGACTTGAAAAAGATTCCTCGGAAAACCGATCGACAACGTGTTGGCGAGCATGTATACGCATGCGAAGCTGCTCTTCTGAGGGCAGCCGCAATGCCTCCTCAAGAGCATCGGCAAATTCATTTACCGTCTCTGCTAGGAAGCCTACAGAACGGACAAAAATTATGTTCTCTGAGAGATAGGAACACGCCACGTTTGTATCTGCCACGAACCTGTCTTGCTCCCTTGGTGCATTGTTACAATGTCCAATTTCGGCCCGCCAGAATTGTGTGCTACGGGTATGAGACCTGCCGCCTTTGAAAAACAGAGTGATTAAGGAGAAAGAGAAGAGCCTTCAAATCAATACGTTTTTACCATATACTCTACAATGCCAATCCCAAAATGCTCGTCCCGCATCGAATGCAAACCAATAGATCCTTTTTGTAAATATTCCAAAAGCGTGCTGTACTTTGCATTCTCAATGAATTCTACTTGTTCCTAGCAACCCATATACTGGTTATCATCGCTTGTTTGTACCAGCGCAAAAGAGAAGAACGTACATAGATGCTGCAGTCCTCTGCATACTGCTTCAATTCTTCAACCCGCTTACGATCTTCGGCGTTTCGGCTGCCGCCTATGAGGATCAGCCGGATTTTCGATCCTTCTTGCCGGTATTTGGGTTCCCTTTCCAAAAGAGTTTGGAATGCAGATAATTGCAGTTTGTGTGCTTTTTCTGGTCTATTCATCAAAAGGATTCTGTGAGCATAACGGGTTACTACCATTGACATGTATGGTTTAAATACCTAAATTGTGCAACTGATACGATCCATGGTTCTCTATTCTCAAGAGAAAATGATTGCAAAGATTCCGTATTACAAGGCGGATACACTACTGCCGTCCGTTTGGGAATTTTCCAAATACTGTTGACGTGTCCCAAAGTCCAGGTAGAATTTACCTGCGACATACGACGAGACTGTTACAAGACGCGCACACTTTTGACAAGCAATAAATAAGCTTACCATGACAACGTCTGCGGTACGCCCAACGATTCCGTAGAGCCATGCAAATAGTCGGTAATACCTGTATCCAAGGAATAAGACAAGCTCAACGCCATTTACTATGCGATGTAAACATACCATATTTTACCTCGCGTCAACACAGAGCTACGGGCCACCATACTTGAGTTGTTGAAATCAGTGACACCAGATACTACTTTGCCCAGCATATCTGCGCTTTTGACTGGTTGAATAACTCCACCTTTTAATGCGTCGATGTATAACACTCATGCATACCTGATGGTAGGATAATGAGTGTACGCTACCACTTTACATCCAAACATGTACTTGGCCAGAGGATACACAAAAGCGAATCCAACAGTATCTATGGTAGTTCCCTTATATTAGCATTCATCATTCGTGAGCAATTCCGAAAACAAGAAAAATCGATCACGCACCTATAAAGACGTCCGGTAGAAGCAGTTGCATAGCCTCCCAGCCAACCAAAACAGATCCCAGGCTTTGACCCAGTAAGGTGAATATTCTGTATCTGAACCCAAGAAACAAAAGATGCATGAAAAGCTGCTTTCTCATAGTAGATGAGAAAAGATGATCAGACCTTTCAGCCTCCAAAAACCGCCATCGTTTTAGTGTCTGGAATCGCACCGTGCTTGGATCAATGTCAACGTTAAATTGAACCTAGTTTAATTGTCTACAATGTTATTCCACTTCCATGTGTCCCATAATTGATATGAGAACTTCCGACCTTTGCTTTCTGCAAAACCTGTTCAACAGGCCCAGCGTTGTCCCAACAATAAATCACACAGACCACATTTGGCCAAGTGTCCTGAATGGCTTTGATGGCAACCCACAAAACGCGTTCTCCGCCTCCACCTGCATCACTATAATAGAGAAGTTGGTCATGAAAAAGGATAGCGCGGCATCAGACCCACTGTCGGTGATCGTACCAGAACGGATGGAAAAACCCGAGAATAGGGCCACCCTCCAAATGTCGCCGCTGTGTCCGCTTTCTGGACTGTATGTCGTGTGACCATAGGACCAACACCAGAACGACGGCGCCCAGTAACCCGAACAAACATGCTGTTAGGGCAGCCAAGGTCATGCCGTCAAGAGAAAGTCATGCATGCTCTGAAAGCTGTGCATGAGGCTTGGGCCTGCTGGCTGGTGCTGCGCATGATTGGAACCGGATGGATCCGAATGACATGGTATGACTTCCGACAATGTTCGTGAAAAACCGACTAGAGTATTTTGTCAAAGTCCAAACCATCTCAGGTCAAATCCGTACGAGTCTGCTCAAGATCGTTTCTAGCGGTGGAGATGCATGTAACGCGATCAAGGCATACTGGACGCACAGTGACACATGTTGACCAGTGCGATAGCGACCCGCCGATTCGTTTCCACATGAGCGAAGCAAACACCAGGGATACGCGATGGCCCAGGCTTAACGTCAAGCGCAATGGTGTCAAATAGAATTTGAAGGCTCGAATATGTCTAGAATATCATTGAGCTCAGAGACCTTTTGCGTGAGCAAGTCAGATCCGCCCGTAGATTACTTGTAGATACAAGTCCTTATCCCCTTGTTCATGGCTCGGTTCCCGTCTTGGAGCATATCAAACTACGATTTCACACCATCGGAGGCGGTTGCAGCTGCATTTTCCCGCTTCTTTAGCCAGGTGAGCTGACGGCGTGCTCTGTCGCCCAGTTCCTCCATTTCACGCCAACGTATCATTCTTGATATCGCGATCCCCCACGTGACTATTACCTCCTCGTGACTGTGCCTGCTCACATAAGATTCTTTTAGCCAGAAATTCTACTAGACCACAATTGTTCTTGCTGAACTCGACATTTTGGATTGGTGAGCGCAACACGTTGCTCCAAATGCCGTCACCTACACAACCGTTATCGGACACTGCCCGAAAGGCTGTGCGAGATTTGCTGCTTATTTACTTTTGTAATTCGGAGATTAACGGAACTGTGGCAAACATTCCAAAGAATGTAATATCTCACGAAGACTGGGTAGCTGGATGTCAGTTCTGCGTATTTTGATCTCCGAATATGTAGGTGGTTGCTGAAACTACGTTTCCTGCACAGGGATACCCATATCGACTCTGGCCTCTTTTAAGCGTCTGCAAGCAATCACCAAAGACCCGCTAGAAATCGCCCGAGCGGCTGTTGAATTAGCGCCAGCCATTTTCGAAGCGAGCCCTGATGGAAGCAGACTTCGAAGAAGAATACCGTATGATGAAAAATATGCTGCAGAAATAGATGCTCGAGAAGCCATTTCTCGAAACATTGTGCAAGTGCACGGGTTTGGAGCGTCCACTGCGACGACTGAAGTGCGTGCATACTTTGAGAGGTTTGGGCCGGTAGTGCAATTGGCGGCTGTGGGGCCGGTAGATAAAGGCACTTTCCACGTCGAGTTTGCAAATGTGGAAGATATGGTCAAGGTTCTTGCACAGTCTCATATCTACGAAGATATGCAGATACAGGTTCAAGGGAAGAGTAAAAATGTGCGAGAGCCATCCACCCCATCTGCCGCAAGAGCAGCAGCGATTTCATCCCTCGAGACTCATGCGGGAGTCACCACGTATCCACATAACCGCATCGTTCAATTTGTCCTCTCTGATCCGCAAATCACAAAGCTTGCCATCAAGGTTGCTGCGGAACAATTTGCATCTGTGCATTCTATTGATCTGGAACGTGACGCGGAGGCGGGGTACATTCGATTCAAAAAATCTGTAGCAAAGGAGGTGGTGAACGTAATTGAGCGACAGGGTGGATTACAAGTGAATGGAGAACGAGTCGAACTTCGATCCCTTGAAGGTGGATGTCTTGTTTTGTGTTTGTTTTCCTGCCTGTTCATGATCTTAATACTCCCTTGTTCAATCGTTCAGGTGAGGAAGAGAGGCTTTATTGGTCCGTCTCCAAGTATCGCGCGGAAAATAGCGAGTTGCCCAAACCCCTCGATGCACAGTCTCGGCGCGTTCACAGCCGCCAAGAAAGACGAGCGGAACGCGCGCCGTACAATGGGCGTAAGACTAGACGTTCGAAGAACAAGGCACCACCGCCAAAAGTTAAAGTGGATGAATTGCAAGCTCTTTTACAGGGGCTTTGATCCTGTTTATTTAATTGTAGCTTTTTGTGTATTCTTGTTTAATATTATCGTACATATTTGGTCTAATTGCGCATGTTACAACTCTACAGACAATACAAGCCGTGATGTAAGTTTTACTTGCAAGCAAAGCTGTTTAAATACTCACGTGTGTATGGAAGCTGTACATTTACAATATACACACTTGCAAAAAGACAATAATCAATTGCCACCCATACACATCGGAGCACAAGGAGCAATCTTAATTCCTATTCATGAGCAAGTGCCCTCGTCGATAGGTTCATGTCATTTCCTTTCCTGTTGTTGTTGTTGTTTCCAACCCAACACACCCTTATCGAATGTGTTTTTTAGGCGGACATTATCGGCGGGAAATGCGTCCAACCTCCGCCAATAACTAAAAAAAACGTCTAGTTCTAGGTCCTTTTGATCACCCCCCGACCATCCAAGTTTCTGATGACGAGAGAACTCTACGATTGGGTCAAACTTGCAATCCACGTGTTTTCTAGTCATGCTGATTGGCTCAAGATTGTAAAGAGAAAAATAAACCGGCGAATCCCGTCTGCGCATCACGAGGCTTTTCAAACGTTCCCAGGGCACTGGTTTCGGTTATCTGTTGCCCAAATGAAACCGACCCCTTATTGATACAAACGCACGTGCAAATTTATAGCGTCACACAGGCACTGCACGCGAGCGACTGGGTTTTCGCACGCGACTGGGTTTTTGGCTGATAACCTCCCCCATGTGAAAATGTTTTTCCCATCGATTTCCGCCCATTTTTTTTTTTTTTCCTATCATTGGCGTGTGCGTGCGCGTAAATGATGGCAAGTTGTGTTTTAGATAGGGTCATTTACAAAGATACAAAAGGGAAACGGAGGGGGAGATTACCCTTGTGTTTTTTCTATAAATTACGAGACTTTTTACTTGTCCCCCCGCAACACACACACACACTTGTTAAAAGATGGAATTTGTTGCTTATCATCACCAGCACCCGATTGAACAACGTCCGCAACACTTGTACCGTCCAGTGACGACGACCATGCCACAAGCTTCGCAAGCGCCTCGGTATATGCCATACCCAGACAAACAACAACAACAACAACAACAACAAGAACGGCAATCGCTTCCTCCCGTCGCTTCCGTCTTTCACCCACAGTATGCCCAACGGCCGGCCTTACCGCCTCCTCATCATCTCGTTCAGCCGTCATACCCACAACCACTTGCAATGATCAAACAAGAGCCTCGCTCTCCTCCGTCACGTCCGGACGAAAAGACAGACAAGGAACTCTTGCGCAAAGTCTCCCATTCCGCCATTGAGCGTAGAAGACGAGAACGTATTAATGATAAGATTATGCAATTAAAGGGGCTTGTGCCTTCCTGCGCCCACCAGGAAAATTTGCACAAGCTGTCGATTCTCCAAAACGCGATTGATTACATTCGCCTTCTCAAGGACCAGCTCGAACACCAGGAACAAGCGAACAAGAAGCTTCAGCAACAGCAACAGCGATTGGAACCTTCTCCTCCGCAAGCACCTGGGCCTTATGAGCGGAGACCAAGCATGTGCAGTCTCCCTTCTCCCATTCCGAACCCGTCGTCTCCTGAAGACAGGCCCGCCTACCCGATATCCTCCCCCTTATACCGATCCGATTCCGAATATGAAATGTCGAGGAGAGAAGAGGTGACGGGTCTGCTGATGCTATCTGGCATAAGGCCTTCTCCGGAACCCGCCGCTTCCACTCCGCCTCTTCCCGAAAAGAAGCCATCGCGGCCCATGTCGGTGGGCAGCTTGCTGTGCTAGTCTCCTTTTAATTATGATACGAATGGAAAAAGGGTTTTATTTTTATTTTTTGTACCATGATTAGTTTGCTGGTGTGTTGAGCTTGTGTGTATATAACATAGATCGTATTTGGAAAAAGACTCTTTTTTTTTTTGCAACTGTCGGAGTTTTGCTTGCTTGGTTCAACTTTCCCGGTTTCCAAAGGGATTCCGCGTGTTAAATTCATTTCTACAAGTATGATCGACTTTAGGAGCAGGGACAAACGTCCTCCTTGTGCGATGACCAACCCGCAAAGGGACCAGCAAAGATCTGGAACTGGGGAAAATGGCAGAGTAAACATTTTGCACGAGCCGGGACGGAAGCGCAAGGGGGAAACGCGGCGTCGTGAAAGCCACGCAATTTGCCTGAAATGCAAATCTCGGAGGTCAGAATGATGTCGTTGCTCTTTCTACTTGGAATGCTTAATTATCGATATGTACCATCAAGCCACTACAGGCCAGGGTCGCCGGAATGAGCAACCCGCCGATCCTGGTGCGAGTAATGGAAGATAAACATTTCTCCGTGGACTTTCACAAGGTGGTGCGTATTTGATATTTCACGAGCTTTTTTGCACTCTGGCGGTGGATGCCCGCCAAGGCATTGCATCCAAAGCAAAACAAAGGCACCCACGCAGAAAGGTAACGGGCGTACTTCTCCATGAAATGTCGTACCGCCAAGCGCCCGAAATGACAGACTCCATCCAAATCCAGGCCAGTGCATGCTCCACCTGCACATGCAAAACATGCAGCAGCTGGAGCGGGCTGCTGTGTGAATGCTGGTCGGGCGGGTCGGAAGCACATCACTCAGCAAAAAAAAATCTCATGTGAAAACAAAGAGCCACTGAAAGGCGCCCTGAGTTAATAAATCGGTTAATTAGATGACTTCAAACCAAAAGGCCACGCCACGAGCCTGCAGCTTCGCCCAACCAGAAACAGTTGACCAAACGTTTTCCCCCAACAAAAGTTTCAACAGCTTGTTTGATGCGGCAGGTAAAAAGTTGCATTGGATTTTCATGCTCTCGACATACAGTACGGGCGCGCTATGTCGTCTACCGCCCGGAAGAGAGATGCCATGTGTATCCTAGAGTTCATGACTTGCTCGAAACATGGAGTTGACGAGAATGCTCGTTGTCCAAGGTACGTACGGAGAATCGATGACCATTCAAGACTTTGGGGCTCACTGGGAGAGTCGGATTATCCTTGTCAGTCATGTTTGTTCCCACCTTTTGCATTGTCCTGTGGTGTTGACCTTTATGATTCCTCTGAAACTTTAGTCACACGACAAGGTCCATCAGCACGAGAGAAGAGCAGGAGCGAACGAGACTGGGGTGATTGTCAGAATCCCATCCACTGCCTCTAAAAGGCGCCTTCCCGTGACGACCACCATTTCTACCTCCTCAGATAGAGAATTGCAGATCAGAGAAAGCGCGGGGTTCACGGTAGGATTCCCCCGGTCTTGTTTTCTGTATCTATCGTATCCGACCGAGTATATCGATGGCGGGGATACGATCAAAAGGAAAATCTTTGGATGATAAGAATGACCAAAGATGCAATCAAAACGTTGCACTGCAATGTCGCGTGCCTGTCAAACATTTCCATTGCGTCGAGCGATGAATGACGATCGGGGCATGGGCAGTGTCGGAGCGTGCGATGGAAAACAATGGAAATCAAAGGCCATTGAAAGAAACGACACCGCCGAAGGACCACAGCAAAGCCGAGCACGAGTCTGTCCACGTGCTCATGTGCATGGGCTTCTTCTTTTTACTGGTTTTTCTTTTTTGACACCAACCGTTGACCCACATGACGATTCCTGGGCGGCCGCAAAAACGTGGTGTGTAGCGTGTTTGATGTTTTGCATCTTTTAAAGTCGCCAGCCATCAGTTTAGATCACTTGTTCGTTTTTCCGTCGAGCAGATTACTTGTCGCATTGTAAAAAGTGATTGTAAAAGGTGACCAATGGGTCTCGACCAGCTCTCCAATATGCTACTTTGTTATTGCGCAATAAATCGTTTTGACAGTGTCATTCCGCTGGTCAATGGCTAGCATTACGTAATCCGACGAAGCCTTGCCCTAGATCAATCCCCCCAAAAGTGGTCCTTGGAGTGTCAACCAAGTTTAAACATGTTGTTAAATTTGACAATGCAAACTGTAGGGGATATGTTCTGGATGACGCGCGCGCAAATAAAGGGATACCAAAACAAACAAACTATATACAACATCCCATCTTGCATCACATCTGTCGTCGTCTGCTTCTATTGCACCAATACATGACGGTCAGGTCTTCCAGCCTTCTTTCCATTCCTGGACATGTCCGCCCGTCGTTAGATGTTGAGAAGGATGCAGCAGGCGAAATGGAGCGGCTTTTGTTTGTGGAGAGAGGAGAGGACGAGGAGGAGGACAGAGAGGGAGAGGAAGTTAGGGGAGCCCCCAGTGGTACGTTACTTGCAACTGGTAATCAAAATGTTTAAGCGTGCGTTGAACGCTATTATGCAGTGGTATCGTCGACTGTCAACTTGATCAATACCATACTTGGGACACAAATGCTGAGGTAGGCTAAAAGTCCACCAAAGCAACCAAGCATCCGCAAGTTCTAATTGCATCGATCATGTCAAACCAGTATGGCTTACGCATTTGGAAAACTCGGTCCTGGCCTCGGAACTATCCTCCTTCTCCTTTTCGCTTTTTTCACTCGCTCATCGCTGCGTCTTCTTGTCACGTCCGCTCAACGAATCCCACACCATGACACGCGCAACGCTCGCCTAACAGAGCCCGGCACGCCATCCTATGCAACGCTTGCCCGCGCAGCGTTTGGGAATTCTGCGGCACCAGTGGTGGATGCCATGATGGTTCTTGCGTGTCTTGGATTTGCGATTAGTTATCTGGTGATGCTCATGGATGGGATGCCGAGAGTTCTTTGGGAGGTTGTGCCGGGATGGGATGGAAGTGGAGCATGGATTGTGCAAGTCCTAAGTGGAGGCAAATTTTGGTTGTTTGGTATGCCTCAATATCCAATCGCTGGGTTATCTATTTCTCAACAGCTTATCCTTTTTACTCTGAAAATAGCGTCGCTCCTTCTCATTGTCCCACTTTCCTTTTCCCGTGATGTGGATGATTTCAAATGGTTCTCTGGCACGGCCTTGGCTTGTGCAGTCTACATGGCCGGTGTGGTCGTGTATTGTTATTTCAGCGGTGAAGGCCAACACGAAGGGCCACGGGTTCCAACCACCTCGCCTGAGCGGCCATGGTTTATTTTCACGGATAAAGCGATGGGTGTTTTGCCTATTTTTGTGTTTGCTTTTACCTGTCATCAAAATGTGAGTGCAATAGGTTCAGAGTTCCTTCTTGGCTTGTCGTGGATACTAATCTTGGCTTTCGATAACGAAGATGTTTGCCATCTATAATGAACTTGCGGCTGCGGAGAAAAATGTAAAGGTTGCGCGCAGCTCCGACCCAGATGTGACCCTCCGCCATATTCATCTCATTACGGATGTCTCGGTTGCGGCCTGCTTTATTATTTACTTTGCAGTAGGAGTGGCCGGCTACCTCACCTTTGGCGACAATGCCGACATGGTGTTGTTGAATAACTGTAAGAGCCACTTTACTTTTTGTTTACCTCATGCAGTGTGCTAATCGCTATACTGCTTTCTCCCAGATGCCGCGATCCCAGCAACAACATTAGCACGAGTCTCCTTTGTTCTCCTCTCCGCATTCTCTTACCCCATCCAACTTCATCCATGCCGTGCGGCCCTCGACTCGCTCTTGATGCATTTTAGTCCGGCCAAGGCCCGGCCGACTCTGCATCATTATACCTCTCTACAACATCTGACACCAGGACAGTCGCCACGACATCGAGAGTCTATCATTCGCAAACGTATGACATTATTTCTTTTGGTACTCAGCTATCTCTGCGCCGCTTGCGTTCCTCCAGCCATGTTGGATAAAATACTAGTGTTTCTTGGTGCCACGTGTGGCAGTGCAGTCTGTTATGTCTTACCTGGAATGATATTTAGAAAGGTGGGTGAAGCTGGGGAGGGGTGGGAAGCATTTGTGGCTGTTACGGTGGAGGTGATTGGGGCTGCTTGTGGTTGTGTGGGCATCGTGTATTGCTTGGTGTGAACGAACTGGGCGGGTAACATTAGACATATACCTAACAATCAACTAATCACGTATTGTTTTGGCCGAGATTTGAACGGTTGTTAATGCTCAGAATGAATTATATCAATATGCTTTTATTTCCGTGTTGTTGGTGGATGCATCGTGCTGGGTAATAGTCAGGTTTTAAAGGAAAGGTCGGCTCAAAAACCGTAAAAGCTCACATGCCCAAAGTTAAGCTTACGTTGCTGTGAGGTGACACGGTTTGTTGCTACGGTGATCAGAACAAATTACTAGTTGGAGCGAGGTTCGGTTTATTCTGACCTGCGACAATGCGTCCTTCGATAACCAGCTGCAGGCGGCTACTCCGCTCTCAAGTGCATCTGCCGGCCAGGAAAGGAATCGTATCGAGACCTTGGAGCTTTCACATTCTTCAGACGCGACTTGCATCACACACCACATCCTCACCAGCCCTCGACCCCTCCACATTCAATGCCCGTACAGACGATACCTTTGAACCAAACCTCGCCACAACCAGCAGTACATATTCCTCTCCACAGTCCCGATATGACTTTCTCTCAGCTTCACTTATCACCAACCCAACCTTCCTTGCCCTGGACGATCTCCTTTTCCTTTTATCTGCCGCGCAATTAGGTCCCCTAACTCCGGATGCTGTTGCAACACTATATAAGACCCTACTGAGCATTCCTGCCAAGCGCTTTGTTTTCAGTACACTACATTTCAATCAGCTTCTTTCTCATCTTCTCTTACCATACGAGGATAATTTTGACCTAGCGGTGCCCGTAAAGGTCCAAAGGCAAGTGGATCAATATACATCTGATCTTCGCGAGCTCGGATTATCGCCAGACGGAACTACGCATGCTTTTCTCATGCTATCCCGCAAGGATCATCATGAGCGAGTCTTGTCGACCTACGCTGCTATACCGAACCACCTGAAAAAGCAACTTCCAATCGTCGCATTCAATTTGCTGCTCCATTTGGCACTCTCCAGCGCGGATAAGCCCATCACCAAGAGTGGACTCTGGGAAATCTATACATCAATACAAAAGTCGCATGCCCAACCAAATATTCTCACGTTTGAGCTGTTGTTGACGGCTGTCGGGCCGCGGTTGAAAGACGGAAAGGCTTTCAGAAGGATCATGTTGCGACTGGGTATTAGCGATCTGGAATGGAGGAGACAAAGTTTTGCTGCAGCCTTGCAAGCGACTGCAGAATGCGGTGATGAAAAGGGTCTCAACAGAATCATGTACAAACTGAGAACAGCCAAAATTCCGGTTGACAGGTAGGTTGGTCTGAACGCCAAGACATGAAATTGTAAAGAACTTACTAAATACCGCCTTATTCTGAACCCCTTATTGTTCAGAACAATTCTGAACGGCATTTTGCGCTTCTGGATCAATGGGCTACGTCCTCGCGCAGCAATTCGACAATATCACCGTCTCACCAAGCAATTCCCGTCAACGCTACTGCCAACATCCTCTGAGACATATATACTATTGCTTGAATCTTGTGCGCTGATACCCAGCTGTGCAACTCCAGGGGATGAGACAAACGCTAGAACGGAAGCACAGGAAAACGTGGCTATCATTCGAGAAGAAATGGTGAGGAGCCTAGATACGATTTCCGTTCAGACTTTTGAGTATCTGGCCAAATGCTACATTCGCTTGGACGATCCTCGAAACGTGCTGCTTACGTTTGAATATGTGAAGAAACTTGAAATGGGCGGAAACCCATATGTCCCTGGTGCTTTGATGCTGGAAGCTGTGGCCGAAGCACATGGAAGGATTGGCGACTTGAACGCGATACGAGAGTTTTTAGATGAGGATGTGTTCGTAACGGAGACATTGGTGGCACATTATGGGGCCGACCAGAAAGCGTCAGATATAGCCACGGTAGAGCCATTTGAGGGCACCTACGAAGCGCTATTATCGGGCTGGCTGGAGAGTGGGAACGAACCGACGGAATTGGTGGATCTTTTGACGGAAATGAGAAAGACTGAAAAGAAGAGAATGTCAAAAGTCATCGAGGACCGGATGGCTCGGTAGTTTATAATATTTAGTTTAATACATGATTGGGGCCTTTCCCAAAAAACTGTCATTGGTGACTGCTGACTCAGCTGTCGATCAAGCCGTCATGCCTCACCTGACCGCGTAACGTCAACCATCCACCTCCGTTCCTGCATCTCAATATCTCCCATGGCAGGCGAGATATGCAGATTCTTTAATCGCGGTGATGGTTGCTTCAGAGGGGACACTTGCAGGTGAGCGTTGTTGAAGTTTTCTGACTGTTATAACCCAACATCGTCCCAAGTCTGACTCGTGGGCAGGTTTAGACATGTAGATGGTGACGGGGACATTTTTCCTCCCACGCACGATGGGCGGTCCTTGATACCATGTCGCTACTTTTTGCGAGGATACTGCGCCAAAGGGGGAGCCTGCCCATATCGACACGACAACTCAGGCGCAGAACAGTCGGAGACTGCTGTAGAAGGAGATGGTTATGCGACCACCACAGACGACGAATCAATATGTGCCATTTGTTTCGATCCACCCTTGCAATTTGGCTTACTTTGTAAGTTTTGTACGTCAGTTTAGCAAAGATTGAGTTTGGTCTCATAATATTCTTTCACTAGTGGGATGTGATCATATTTTCTGCGTAGGGTGTGTTCGAGAATGGCGCAACAAGAAGAACAAAACCGACGACTTGGCTGGCTCTTCAGTCATTAAAGAATGTCCAGTATGTCGGTCGCCGTCTCCGTACGTTGTCCCTTCCTCTGTACACGCAACTGGGCCACGTAAGGAGGTTGTCATTGAGGCATACAAAGCTCGTCTTTTGCGAATTCCGTGTCGATACTTTGAAAATTCCCGACCTGATGATCGACGGTGTCCGTTTGGAAATGAGTGCTTGTATGCACATAATGATGAAGCGGGCAATCGGGTTGACTGTAGTCGTCCATCAGACCGCGCTGCGAGTAGGATTGCAAGGCCCAGGTCTAGATCACGATTTATGAGGGAAGCGGAAGTAGCCGGCGAGCGGGTTATTCAGTTGCTCCGTGCATGGGTGAGTGATGCTAGAAGAACCATTGCGAGCGATGATGAGGAGGGAGGAACTTTGTCAATCACATGGGAAGATGAGGAGGCATGGATGGAATCGGCGGCATACTACTTGCAGGACGAACTATCAGATTGTTACAGCGACGAAGACGACTGGAATGACGAGGAAATTTATGCTGATGAAGAGGACAGCGCCAGTATTAATGAGTATCGCATACCATCTTTCTCAGCGATTTGGGAGGAGTATGGCAGCGCGGAAGAGACTACTTGGGAGGAATGAATACTTTGTACATATTTTTTTTTTCCTTCCTGTTCCCTGATGCCATTTATTCATGTACAATACAAGGTATTTTGTGTTCTGTAAAGTAAGTCTTTTAACAGCCTATCCAACCTATGATCACATGACTGCGCTGGGATCAAGTCGGAGGTGAATTTCCAAGCTCTCCAAATTCTCAGGAAGCTTCGGCGCTTCCGTTGCTCCCACAAGATCTGCTTATCAGTGAAAGGCTGCTTTCCACTGTGCCAGCACAGCAGTGCACACCTATTTACCAATCCTCTGATCCAAAGTGTATCATAGCGCTTCACCGTGATCTTCATTCGAGATCGCAGAGTCAGGACAACACAGTCAACAAATACAGTCCCCCAAAGTGTATGCTATCCACATATCTCTGGCGAGAGTATTAGCCTCCGTCTCTCTGCATGACATCTCTTGCGGTGCATCGCAGAAAGGTTGCGGTTACCTATGGAGGACGCAGTCGTCGGCGCCCGCAAAGCGCATCTTGGTCGGAACTTGAGCTGCACTCTCAGGAGGAGGAGGAGCGCAGTGCCGGGCAGTCGGACATTGGAGATAAATCGCAATTGAGTCATAGCGATGAAGCCGTGGATCCCTTCGCGTTTGTGGTTGAAGATGAGGCGGACGAGGATATCGAGACAGATGGCGAGGATACTGTGCAGTTGAGCCAAAAATCCGCCATTAAGACGCAGAGACGGCAAGCTTCCGCAATGCGTAGAATGCCTTCGCCACCTCGTTCAAAGGTTGAGTCGTCACGGACAAGGAACACCCAAAAGGATGCGGACAGGGCGGCTGGGAAAGCGATCCTCGGAGGGTCTGTATCATCTCCGAAACTCAAGCGTAGAGGTTCCACTGGTGAGACAGGAACAAGGCAACCTTTTGCTGGGTCAATAGAAGCAAATTCGGAACGAGAGATTCCCAAGGCGGGCACATCGGACATAGCTAGTGTCCCACGAACTTCTGCTTTTGATGCTAGATCTCTTGACTCGCCCTTAAAGCAAAGATTGGTTGACACTCCTATAAATGCCGAAGGAAAGGGCCTGTGCAATACAGATGACGTGGGCCTGTTCGACTTTGTCTCTGACAATGAAACACCTTCGCCCGCAAGAGTCGTGAGATCTGTCATGGCGAAGAGGAAGCTCTGTGAGAACGCTCCAGTTTCACCTACACAGAAGAGAGCCAATCAAGCAACGTCACTGAAAGGGAGAAATAGATCTGATGCAGCAATGTGGAACACCAATCCTGGAGACGTAGCAACCACTATCTCAAGTCCATCTACGCCAACCAGAGGGAGGATTTTCCGCATGAAAAGTGCGGATGGAACATCACCGTCGGATGCGATACGAACTTTTGGTTCGACATCCAGCGATACTGCAATAACCATACTCGAACGACCGGCGCAATCGACTACAATGGACGTCGATGACCCGCCTTCGCCGACGAGGGTTACCTCCAAAGCCGAATGCTTTGGGTCACTAAGAGTAGCGCCTGTACGATCAAAAACTGTCCTGGATGATTTGGATGAGATCCTTTCGGCGGTCGGAAGCTGCACCAACTCCACTCTTCGGCACCAGCGTGAAGCAGTCGCTACGCAATCTACAGTAATGGACGCGGCTACCAGCACTGCATCTCCCCGAGCACGGAATCGAATTGGACGAATGAAAAGTGCAGGGGGTGGATCGGACGACCCCTTTTCCGAGCGGATGGACCTATTTGGCCAAAACCTGCAGAGGTGCTCATCACAGGACGGTGATGAGCGGATGAAAGCACTTCGTACAGGCACAAGCAAGGATGATACTCCTGTCCAGTCAAACACTGATTCTACAGCCATGACTAACGTCGACGACACGTTCACGATGAGCTCTGAACTAGAGCTTGATGAGGTTGATGCATTTTTCGCGTCCGACAAGAGCACTGCACCACTTCAGCAAAGCGGACGCAGTTCAACTGCTCCTGTAATTAATTCATCCTCAAGCTCTTCTGTCATTGAGCCGCCAACACCTCTGGTGCGCCACGCCGTGGGCATCACGTACGCTCGAACACGCAGCTATCTGGAGACCCACGAGGACGTTTATGCTCCAAAGTATATCTCAGAGTCCCAGAGGAGGAGGGATGAGGGCCTTGAAAGCAGTAGTGACGAGGAAGACCAGGTCAAAATCTTATTTTGTTGACCTGCAAAGATAATTTTTCCGGGACTCATATTGGTTACGCGCAGGATCGACGGGAAGTTAAAAGCATTCACGAATTACGTGAAGCTGGGGAAGCAAAGAGATTTGCAGATCATATGGAGTATACCTTGGACGGCTTCAGAGAGGATCAACCACTTGGTGTAAGACGAAGCAGGTGAGCTGCGCTATATGAATTCACACTTGCGCTTGCAAGCCGACTGATTTGATTACTTAGCGCATTGGAGCTTGCGAAGAAGGTGCTCTCTGGAAAGTTTACATTAAAAATGCGAGCACTCGGGTTTATATCTAGGTTTTATGAATTGGTGCATTTGGTCGAGGACCCTGTGAGTGATCTGTGCATCGTCTCTACTCCTCTGATACCTTAGCTAAAGGTACAATAGCTTCTGGTAGCTATGATATCCTTCATAATGTGTGCACTTCTGCAAGACCGCCGTAATCTGGAGCAACTCGTTGGCGAAAAAGATCTGGTCGATTTCATGGCTAAAGCTATGCAACTGATCCCTGATCCACTGATCGGGACGCCTAGAAGCAAGTACGAGAAGAGGCTGGTGTGTTACGAAGGAGCAGGCCTTATGACACGCCGGAGCGTTGAACAGACATCGATAACGCAACCTGCAACTTCATAGGTGTCCGAGATCAAGCACATCATTGAAGCCTCTAACTTCTTGAAGTGCTATGGCGACAAGGTAGGAATGATCTACAGAACATTTGGCCAGGCTTTAGATTGTCGACCGATTGCATTGTAGGTTACTACTCGATACATCGCACTTCAATCTTTGTCGGCCATTGCATCCTTCAGACCACGCACGATGCCTTTTATTCAGCAGCGACTTCGGGCTACCGGGGCACTGGATATTGTACTACGGACACTTCATACTGGAGTAGCGGCGATGAATCAGGCTCTTTCAGATGCTACACATCAGCGAACACAGGTTTCTGCGGCCTTTTTCTGTTAGCACTTGGTATGCTGGTTCTCAAAAGGCTTTCGGTACCGCAGGGGAGGATGGCCTTACTTGTCTCAAAATATCAGCCAAACTCTTCGATCATGCATATCAACCTCCTTTGTCTCAGTATTGTGGAATTCTCTACTTTGGTATGTCGGGAAAACCTCGCCTATATCGTAGAAACGGAAGGCTGCGTGAATGATTTGATGCAAATTGTTGCGTGGAGCTCTGGTGCGTAACCATCATCGGCACAGTGAAGGCTGAGGCCCAAGCATTCATGCTCTTGCAATCCCTCTAGCAATTGCTCGGTCATGTGAAGAGTTCTGCTACCCTGGTAAGACTCAGCACCACCGATTTCATTCGCGCTAGGATATTGAAACTATTGCCTTGTGCACCACCCTAGGTTCAAAAATTCTCGCGGCAACCTTTTCTGTGCTCGTGAATTTAACCAATGATCACGAAGGTTGCTCTGATCTTATTGGAGAGGGGGAGTGGTTAGGTGCAGCGGCCCGGTGCGCCATTGTGCCAAATCCCTTGCTAACTGGAAAAGAAGCACAGAGTGATTCTCAGCCGCCCGTCGATTCAAACGGGACACAAAAGAAGTCAAGCAGGCCGTTACACCTCCATGAGGAGTCACACGACGACGAGAGTAAGGCAGACGCAGAGGAGAAGGCAAAGTTGACGAATTTCGATATCATGCTCCTGGGAGTCGCCTTTATGATCAACGTTGTTGAGAGAAACACTAAAAACCAGGATAGGATTCGCTCCCTTGGTGAGGCATTATGAAAAAAAAAATTGTTAACGTCCCTCCGAGGCTCAAGGACTTCCCACCGTTTGTAGAGTTGAGTTTACAATGCCCAGGAGATGAATGCCTATGTACGTGTCAATGCGCAGACCGACAGAGCACTGTCGCGTGCGTTGCGGATGTTGTGAATGAACGCCTCGAAGCCGAGAGTGAGGTACTTTTTATCATTGTTTGGTCTCGTCTGAAACTTTCCACCTAATGGTGCTGAATTACGACATGCAAAGCAAGCAACCCATGAAATTCTCACCGCTCAGCTTACAATGCTCTTGGGGCTTCTCATTAAAGCTCATCCGAGCAACAGATCACTGGCCTTGACGCACATGAAAAAGCATGATCAGTCATTCGAAACGGCGATTGCACTGTTAGAGAATTTCGCAGGTTGGTATGATGCAATGTTGACAGCTTCGGAAAACAGTGTGGAAGGAGCTGGCGTCGATATTGAAATGTATGGAGCCAGAGAGGCCGGACGTGCGGTTAAGGAAATCGTTGAAGTTTTTAAAGGTCAAAAACTGTAGAAATTGTGGTGGTGAAGCGACTTATTCTGTAGATACTTTTGATTGTTATTATTGCCTGTTACTATTGAGCTGCCTCCGACCAAAATTTGTAATTGCATGGCTCAAAGACCCATTTTTACCATTTCCCTCCCCACTCCTCGCCTTGGCTTTCTCCCCAGCGTAGTTCCTTCATAGTCTCGCGTTTTGCCGCTCTGCATCCGCTTTTATCCGCGTTGGTTTTGGGCTTGGCACCGCTCGGCTGGGCTGGTTCAGGAGGGTCGGTCTGCTCGACTCCCTCTTTCTGTTTCTTGGTCTCTTTACTTTTTTGCTTGGGGAGGAACCAGTCATTGGAATCCCAACCGTCCTTATTACTGCTGACTTCCTTTTTTTCTTCACCCCATCCAACGCCCCCAATATGAGTTTTTTGGAGCTCGGCAGCCAGATAGTCCATTATACGAACGTTTTTTCCGCGTTTTTTCAAGTGGCCTTCGCCTTCGCGTTTCTCCTTCCAAGTATAATGCAGTATGGCAAGATCAGGAGCGTTGGTACCAATCTCTGCGCATTCGGCAATATCCGGACGCAGCGAAGTGTCAGTGAGCTCGGCTTCTTTGACACATGCCATGCAACGCCTTTTATCGTTCATCCGCCTTTGGCGGCGTGAAAAATGGTCCCAAGGAAGTATGCGCTCACAGATGCTACATTCAATCTCCTCTTGAAACCCTGGGGGTGGAGACGCATCCGGTTGATCTGGAAAGAAACGTGGAAACTTGGTTTAATTATAGTTGCAAGTTGAGCATTGAGCGAGTTACCAACCGGCTAGCTTCTTGAGCTGTCCTTTTTGTTGGACGACTCCTGCGGACGGTTGGTACCGTGTCCACTGTACTTTGTCCTTTTCCATTGACGCTGTCAAACTACCCAGAGACCTGTCAAAAAGTCGAGCAAAGATTGTGCAGAGCAGGCAAAAGAGTGCTGTCTTCCAGTATCTTCCTTGACCTCTAGTAGGGAGACTTTTATGCGGGTATGTCACGTCATGCGGCTGTCACCGTATCAAAAAAGAACAAGGGCAGAGGAGAAACGGGGTTGCTGCCACGATCGGGCTGTTGGGTAAGCGTCGTTCACGTGATTGGAGCCAAACCTTTGGGCCTTCGAATGACACGCAAGTGGCAAAGTTCTGCTCGCTTACTTAACTGCTGGAGACATTCCTTGTTTTGATTTCTGCGTGACGATCCCCATTAAATACCAAAGGTCAGATAGCCACATTTTTCATGAGGGATTGTTGCATATGGGGATCGCGCTATTAATAGTCATAACAAGCGTGCGAGTGTCCCTAGATCGCATGCTCGCATCTTCTAATAAATGGAGCCTAACTTGATATCCCTTCAGATCGTTCAAAACTCCGCTCAACCTACCTGCCCTTAACGCACAAGAACAACGTCACATCTTGGTAAGCTGCACAGCAGCGTCGTTTTGCGTGCTCTATTTACAAACCTCTCATATCTTTTCTCGCGGACTTAAATAGAAGCTCAATTTGATACCCATTCTGTAGTGTGTCGTCAATATGCCTCGTGAGATTATCTCGATCCAAACTGGACAGTGTGGTAACCAAATCGGTTCAAAATTCTGGGAAGTCATCAGCGATGAGCATTGCATACTTCCCAACGGTCAATATAACGGAGATACCGATCTCCAGCTTGAGCGCATCAGTGTGTACTTTAACGAAGCTAATGGTGGAAGATATGTGCCAAGGTCTGTCATGGTCGACCTTGAACCAGGCACCATGGATTCAGCCCGGGCAGGTCCGTTTGGAGAACTATTTCGTCCAGACAACTTTGTGTTTGGTCAATCTGGAGCTGGGAATAACTGGGCGAAAGGTTATTACACGGAAGGAGCAGAATTGGTGGAATCCGTGCTTGACATTGTACGGAAGGAATCGGAGGGATGTGACTCTTTGCAAGGATTCCAAATGGTCCATTCTCTTGGAGGTGGAACGGGCTCTGGACTGGGTTCCTTATTGGTATCAAAGGTAAACTGGTCATCAAATGTTTGGAAGCTATGCAGAGTGGCTCACGTTTCCATCCCGCAAAATCAACTATTAGATTCGTGAAGAGTACCCTGATCGAATGATGTGCACGTTTTCCGTGGTGCCTTCGCCCAAGGTTTCGGACACAGTTGTAGAGCCATATAATGCGACCTTGTCCGTTCACCAACTCGTCGAAAATTCAGATCTCACCTTCTGCATCGACAATGAGGCCCTCTATGACATTTGTCTTCGCACTCTGAAGATCACTGCGCCCAATTATGGTGACTTGAATCATCTGGTCTCTGCAGTTATGTCCGGCATAACGACCTGTCTTCGCTTTCCTGGTCAGCTCAATGCAGATCTTCGCAAACTGGCCGTAAACATGGTGCCATTTCCTCGCTTACACTTCTTCACCGTCGGTTTTGCCCCTCTGACTGCACGAGGTTCTCAAGCCTTCAGGGCGCTCACAGTCCCTGAGCTCACCGCACAATTATTTGATGCAAAGAACATGATGGCGGCTTGCGATCCTCGTCATGGAAGGTATCTGACAGTTTCCACGATTTTCAGGGGAAAAGTTAGTACCAAGGAAGTGGAGCAACAAATGTACAACATGCAGAGCCGAAACAGCAGCTACTTTGTCGAATGGATTCCAAACAACATCAAGACAGCAAGTATGTACTTTTGTGATATTTTATTAACATTTCAAATTGAACGAATACTCATCGTCTTCACTGTGCTACAGTCTGTGATATTCCACCACGAGGAATGAAAATGTCTGCAACCTTCATTGGAAACACCACTTCCATTCAGGAACTCTTCAAACGGATCCACACACAATTCAGCGCCATGTTCAAGCGGAAAGCGTTCTTGCATTGGTACACTGGCGAAGGGATGGACGAAATGGAGTTTACAGAAGCGGAAAGCAACATGGCGGACCTCGTTTCAGAATATCAGCAATATCAAGATGCGGCTGCTGAAGAAGACGGTGAAGACTTGGAGACAGATGAGACCTTGGATGATATTGCAATGAACGCTGCGGAAAAGAAACTTGCTACTCGTTCTTCCATAGTTGCCCCTATCCCCTCAGAATACTAATAACACATGATAGACGTAGTCATGTCACCTAGTTACTCGCAGCTTACTTTAGACAGAAATAAGAGCTGAGAAGTAATTAGACAGCATTATAGGAGTATTAACTCCTTCTTTTTCTCTTTCCGCCTAATGCTGTTTGTTAGGTATAAGAAACAAATACACATTTATGCCAACTAGAATACAGTGTACTACGGGAAAACCGTAACGTGAATGGCTCTAATCAACACAGCACTGTGACTGAAGAAATAGCGATACATGCGCTAGCCACAAGCACTATCCGTCTTCTCATCCTTTTCTCTAGAATCCGCGTTCACCTGCAGGTTGGCATCCGATCCTATGTCTTCATCCCTGGTAGTGAACCTGTCATTTATCGTCATCACTTCGTCAGCAAATCTGACACGATGCACCAGTGATGCCGCTTCTGGCGTCTCCTCGTTTGCATCCTTGCAGGCAACTCCAGGGAGGTCATCAGGTTCAAAAGGCTCACGGAAGACTGCTGTTGCATCTGATGGTTCTTTACGGTGTCGTTTTCCAGACTTGGTATGATGGCTGACCATTTCGTGCGGTATGTCATTGTGGAGACTTGTGTACATGCCATTTCGGGAAGGCCCAACGGGGGTGTGTTCCTCGTCTTCCCCTCCTCGCGTCGCAAGCTGCATATCGCCTGCTCTGATGAATGATGCTGTGTAGCCGGCAATATAATTCATTGACGAGTCACTCCCATATCCTACAGCGTAATCCTCCTCTGGATTCAAGGTATCGACAATGTACCCTCTTCCACCATTCGCTCGCCGAAACCAGGGAAGGTGCCAGCCGTAGTAGCGCCATAATACCGACACAAGAATCACGACTATAGCGATGGCGGCAACAATTATCCCTATCGTCCATTTGTCCACAGTTAAGTCTGTTTCGGAGTCCTCAGTGAATGTATCGGTTCGAGAGATAAGCTCGAGTCCTCTTACAGTGTTTTTTCTGGTAGTGATAGATTGGCGCAATGATATATCCATTTTTAGTCGTAGGGTGAACTATGTCGTACCTCTGCCTGGAGGGAGCGGAGTTGCTTACGTTGCATAGCGTGACCACTAACCATGACTGACGGAGATGCTCAATTGGGTGTATATCACAGTCAAGAAGCATGTATACTCTATGTCCCTCCCGTTCCTCTGTCGGGTAGAACTGCTGGCCTGCGCATTTCAGCTCTCTGCCGTGAGTTCTTGGCCAATAATGATTATAACATGTCCTTGTTATCCAAGTTCCTCACCCTTTCAAACGCAATTACAATTAACTTCATATCAAAATGAAGATGATGCTAAGTGGGCCTGTTTTATCTTATGGTCCACTCCTACAATAATCTGATATAGATGGTCCGTCAGACCTTCCATTTGGATGACCATAAAGTTTGCACCCATCGGAGAATTGTGTGTCGATTTCACATTTTGATATATGATACATTCAGAGCAACAAGTTAAGTTTATGCAATTACCTACAATAGGTCCAAACCTTCCGTTATCTTTTGGCATACTCTCTTATATTCCCACATATCCCCACATACTCGTTTGAACCTCAGGCCGTACATGCGCAACCTCGGTAGCTTGCACACCTCCGCTTCAAATCTAATTTGACCTATTTCACAGGCACATAGGTATCCTTCCGCTACACAATCAATGCCGGTACGTGTCAAAGTGTCCAGGAGCCTCTTGAAGAGGACAGGAGGTGGCAACGAGGTAGTGGTATAGCAATTAAACGCAAAGCGGATCGTCCGTGGCTGATCAGACGAAGAAGGCGTGGGATCAGGGTCATCCAGATCTTTAGAAAGATATAACGATTCATCGATGGCAATAGTGCGATTGTGTGGTTTGTGCGACCGAAGATTTGAGGACGGTGATGCGCACAGGTCTCCCAGGGGCTGTTCTATAGTGGGTGACCCGGATGCGGTTGCTTTCCTATGATCGAAGTCAGCGCTTCCATTGGAAAACCTTGATGCCATATCAGAGGCAGTATGAATCGGAGGGAGACTTCCTTTTCGGACAGGCCGATAACCAGTCGGCAAAATTGGCGAAATCTCTCCAGTGGCCGCTTTCCCTCGAGACGACGGTGTACTGACTTTTGGGGGAGATTTACCCCGATTCAAGCGGCTTCGGGCCAGCACCTGAGCTATTATCTCGCTTTCGCCAGGGGAAAAACTATGTCGTCTTCCTCTATTTACCGGTGATGCAGGAAGGGGTTCTTCCACCAATGTGAAGGAGTGCCTCCTTTCGTTACCAATTGGGGATGGCTCGGAACTCATAACAGCAGCAACTGCAGCATTCATTGCGACTTTGCTTGTGACTGGAGCCAGCGTTTTGGATCTACGGCGTAACTGCAATCGTGCGGCTGCCCCGTTCGCGGTGTCGGAGTCCAGGGCTTCGCGTTTTAGCTTTGCCGCATTCTCAGCGAGGTCTTTTGCTCGCCGACTTCTTTCAGCCTTGACCAAAATTTTGGCTAGTTCGTCGCTAGTTAAATCATCGCCTTCTCTCGCTGTCGATCCAACTCTGGATGCAATGCCACTCTGACCGACAGCATCTCTACTCCTGTCAGTTGTAGTTTGCTCAACAGTTCTCCGTTTCTCAATCATAGGACGAGCACTTCCAGAGCGACGCTTTCCTATGGCCAGCAAGTAGTATGTCCCGGCAGCTTGATTAAACTTGCCTGACAAAACGTCACGAGCTGCGGATCCACGGTCGAATCCCAATGCCTCCAACCGGTCCAGAATTTCACCATCAAGTTCAGCTGGAGTCCGTGGCCTTAAATGGGGTATCTCAGCTTTTAATCCTTGTTGTTGCCGTCCTAGCTGATTGCCTGAGTCCTCTTGCGTGGCGATTCCCTCGTCGGCTACTGATGAACGCGATTCGGAAGCTACCATCCACGAGTGTTGCAATACTTGGGCGCATGTGTACCGCTCTTTAGGGTCAAGGGTGAGAAGCTTCGATATGAGGTCCTGACAGTCTGAAACCAGAACCATCCATCAGTATTTGCGGCCTATGACACGGTCAACATAGGGGCGAACCACTTCACCCACCCGCTGATACGTAAGACGGAATGTCATACCGCCCACTTAGGACTTTGTCATACAATTTCTTCAGTTCCTTCGCAGCGAATGGCAGATCTCCCACCACCATTGCATACAAGTTAACGCCAAGGGACCAAGCGTCTACTTCTGGACCAATGTAGCGTTTCCCCTCAATGAGCTCGGGCGCAGAATACACAGGCGATCCACAACATGTCGTAAGTTGTTTTGATCGATCGAAGATGTTCGACAAGCCAAAATCTAGATGCACAATGAGGACGTGTTAAAGTCTGCGACGTCAACTTTGACCGTACCAGATATCTTGATTTGCATGCTGCTGTTTAACAACAGGTTCTCGGCCTTCAAGTCCCGATGAACGACATTGCCTTCATGACAATACTTCTGTGGTATCGAGAAGGACTTTAAGTTGGGCATCCTAACTGGCTACTTTCCTTAAGACGGATTTACCAAAGCTTCAACAATCTGACGAACAAACTTTTTTGCCTCGGATTCCTTCAACCTCCCATGGGCGACAATGTAATCTAGCACTTCTCCACCTGGTGCATACTCCAGTACCAAATATAGCTCTCGCTTAGTTTCCATGACCTCAATTAACTGTACAATATTCGGATGGTCGAGCATACGCATGATTTGCGCCTCACGATGGAGATGAGCCACGGAATATGAGTCCGGCAAGGTCTGTTTATCGATGACTTTTATCGCAACCTGTTCCCAAAAAAAAAAGGTGTCGATCAAGACGAACGTTCGAAATAGGTCACGTTTTTTTAGGGCAAACCTTCTCGCCAAGAAGTCGATGGACAGCCAGTTTAACTTTGGCGAAGGAGCCCTCTCCTATAGTTCTAATAAAGTCGTAGTTGCCAATGCGATTTTGATGGGAATGTCGTTTTCCTTGCACATCTTGCTCTATGCCTGGGGTGGTCAATGGGTCAGTCACAGACCGGGATTGGTCAATGGGAGTTGCTGGCATGGCTTTCTTCGACAAGATGTCACCTAGGGCAGGTCTTGCCAATGTCTCCTCCTCAGCGAGGCAATCCAGAGGACGGGAATTTATCATTTTACAAAGTGGTCTGCCGAGGCTTGTTTGTCAAAAGCATAGCCATCGTCTCGGTAATCGTAAAGCAGACCCTCCGCCCACTCGCTCGATGCCAAGTGTTCCAACGGTATGTTACTAATCAGCAAACAATCACTGAGTTACGTAGGCTATTTTTAGGTATGGTACCTTATTTGCGGGTTTCCCTAAGGATACATTCTGGTTTACAAAGAGTACCCTGATTTATCGGAGATACAAACCATATTCTCACGGAAAATGCCCGAACATTCCGTTCCAGCCCGCCCTACAACAAAGAACGCTTATCTCCGATTACCCCAAGCACGATCTTATTCAGGACGAACAACAGACAACGCCAAGTGGCAGCAGGCATCTATAATGTTCATGCAGTCAATCAAATCGTTAATCATGCTTTTCACACTCGGCCATCGTGCATAGCGCATTTTGGGTCAATAAAAAGAGGTCCCTCCTTCCCTCCTGCATTCTTATCTTCATCCATTTTTCCAAGCACGCAAAATGCTGCTGCTTTGGTGCCAAGGAACACATCCTCCGATATCGACAAGAACCGCGGTCTGTCCGACTTCTGTAACCTTCCCAGCCTTCTCCCACTTCGGACGTCCAGGTCACTGCCAAGATGTGGGACCCAGGAATGACTTTAACGAGACAATCGGGATCATGGAAATACTACCTGGTAGAAGACCGCATTTATTGTCATAGCCCTTAACTGCTTTACTGGAAGATCCCTCGTCGCCAGTTGGCTGTGTTATGATGCCCACGGCAGACAGTTTTCAGATCTCGCACATTCCCGTCGAAACCATCTTGTATCACAGCTAATTCGCCATCTTGCTGGTTGGACGACATTATTTGATGACATATGCAATGTATCTAAGCCGATAATGCACACGTCCCCCATTTGCACATCAGCCGAGACCCATTGTATATCATCCCGGACCATTCCAAATTTGACGTGAATTTCCTCTGGGTTGTCTGCAATCCACCCACTCTGAGTACCGTCCTTGCCAACCCTGCTATTGCCGTACGTAGCGCGGAGTCGAGAGAATTTAGGTGAACGGTGTGATCCGGGTGCCACCACAAGAGAACCAAGAGCGGTTGTGATGTCCCCAAGAGGAATCCAGGCGGTCGTCACTAAGGGGTAAGATGGAAAGTAGACACGGTCTACATGAGGTCCAGTATATAAATTTCGACCTACAGCTCGCAGCCACTTATACGGATGGCTTTGGATCTGTTCAGTAGGATGCCGGATAGAGGCAGAGTCCCTGTCATGTCTATCCTGTCGTAAGACCTTCTGTACTTCATCACACAGAAGAATCTCAAAAATGCGATACAATGCTGAATGCTCCAGAACTTCTTTTACTGAATCACTGTTCGCCAAATCCTGACGGTTTAGCAAACTGGGACTTGCATTGGTATTTTCACTCTTCTTCGTAACCGCGTCCATAACATCGCATCCAGGTTCAAGGAATCCTGTCTTGGCCAGGTCTTGGACAATCGTTCTCCGTGCTAGAAATACTTGCTCTCGTGGAATCAGTTGGGGAATGTACAGGTATCCGTCCCGTCTGAAGCGTTCACGTAGAAGGCTCGGTGAAGCGTTGGCAGGCGTCATAAGCATTTCGTTGACCGAGATGCTACCAGTTCCAGCAGATATCATTCGAGGGAAAGTGGAGTAACCTGTCTGACCTTCATTCCCGGTGTGATTTCCTTTGTCGGACGCCGGAGGTGCATCCTTGTGCCGAGTTCTAGAAGTAAATTCGTAGGGAGCAACTCTCGGTTTAGTTTTCGAGTTCGGTCGGGAAGGCGGTTTTGACCCGACTGTCATCCTGTCATTATCTTCGTTCCAGCTGACTTTTTACAGTGTTGCGTGCGTAGGCAGCACCCATTCCTGAGAGTTTTTTCGCAAGGTCTGGCTGGAAGGTTTCTCGTAGAAACTGGACAGGCTGTTGGGAGATCACGTGAACCATCCTGGCTCCAACGCTGCCGATTCTTGTGGGATGCTTGAGAGTTCAAGATGAATGTTCCCCACTCTCTCCTCGCACGACCAGGACCGAAAGAATGCGACAAAGCATGTCAGACGTTTGCTGATATTCTATCATCCTCTCTGACTTTCGAAACCACAGGGCGAGACATCGACGCTACAGAGAAAAAGGAATGGGAGCACGAGGTACAGGGTTGGCGCGAACTCTGCACGCTAATGTGCCGCGGCAAGGCTGTCGATAGCGCAACGGAAAACGGGATCAAGTCAGGTGGAAATGGAGGATTTACGCGGCTGACGGCAAAATGTTTGATGACGCTCGAACGCGTAGAGGATGTATTGGAATGCGAAGCGTTGAGGAAGGAGATGGAGCAAGCCGGATTCTGACGTGAAGATCTTCCGACCGCTCCGATCCCGTATGTGAACCTGAATGCTGTGTGTTTCGGTCCACACCTACAGAAGCTGGATTCTGAAGTGAAAGTAATCCGCCTGCTCCAAATATGGCACACCCATAACAAAGCGTGCACAATGGTTTAGGATTTCCGATACATGCCAGCAACTAGCACAAACACACGGACGAAATCTGCCGAATTTAACAATAGGTGACTAGAGGCCGCTCAACTCTGTTGACAAGCAGTCAAACCATGCTGAAAAGACCTTGAGTTCCTATATGATTTATGTGAATGTACAAAAAGGTCTCCCTGTGTGCAACTGTAAATCATTCGATATCCTCTTCCCATATCTCATTTGTTTGGGAAACCCCCTCTATGTTCCGCAACCAGCGCCTTCGTGGACTAGCTGGTGTATTGGAGTTAGAGTGCCAGCCTGCGGAAGGGGTGGGAAAAGCGCTATCCGATTCCTTCGGTGAACTCCCCTGAACAACTTCATTCTCTCGCGATAGGCCTTGCTGGTCATTGAATGCCGATGTCTCGGAATCTGCGCTATTTAGAGGAACAGGAATATTGCCTGCATTACGCTGCAGACGTCTAATGCTATCAACGATCGCCGATTCAGTTCTCGGTGACATCAACGATTCAGATGAATATGCGCGACCAAGCAACGGCTTTATTGGAACCAAGTCGAGTGAAGAGGGGAATTCCCGCGGGCCCGGAACCGACCGCCGATTCCCATGATCCGTATCTGACTGCTCTTCCTGGCTCACTTCCCCCGTATCGGTCGCATGTTGCAGTCTCCTTACGGCCACTATAGCAGCATATTCACTTTGTGGGGTCAAGGCAGACACTGAATCTGATAAAGTGCGACGGTGCCCTCTTTTAAGAGTTCTTATTTGTAGGCGCGGCATCCCTTGCACTGGATCGCTTGGCGACCGTCCATGCAAGTATGGTTCACTTTTGTATCTGAATCGTCCGGTATTTAATCCCCGCACTTCGCTACGCTCCTGTGATCCCAAGTCCCCTTCCCCTATATCCTCGAAAATGGTGTTTCTTAGCATGCCTTTTGATGAATATTGGGCCCCAACGAGGCCTCCTCTGCTACCACTCAATCGGTTTCCAAGTCGCGGCATAGGTGGACGGATGGGTAAACCAAGGTTCAATTCACTTGAAAACGCAGCACGGGATGCTAAGAGGTTGACTGAAGAAAATATTCGAGATCCGAAAAGCTGTGCATGATTCAAAGCAGTCTGGCTGGGACGAGACAAGAATAGAGAGGTGGTAGAAGATGATTCGGATGAAGATCTTGACGTCGCAGATGGCGACTCTGAGGTCGAGGAAAGAGTGTCGGCGGAAGGATGCTGAACTTGATTTTCTGTTGGCGGCCGGCTCCCTTCCCATGTCTGGACTATCTCGATGAGACAGATGTAAGCGGCACATGCGACCAATAATATTATGGATCCAATGAGTTGGAGGGTGAAAGTAGTGTTCACAGCGGCCAAAGGCCTAGAGATGAATACAGGTATTCCCGACAATATGGTACCGACTGCTGCCAAAAATACATTCAGTCTTCGAGATGCCGGATAGGGAACAGCAAGTTGTACATTGGTAGCGGCGTTTTCTTGTGGAGCCGACGCTATGTTTTCGCTGGGCTGTTCATTCCCACCGGGGTCTTGCGCGGCGTCAGGTTTCTCTACCAAGCTATCTTCAGGCTGCCAGCGTGCAAGGCTTCTATTCTGAATATCTGCAGGCTCGGCATCTCGGCTCCATGACTTGAAATATCGCAGGTTACTGAACATTTTACGTGACCTTTCGATCAGATGGACCACCCACAGCCGCATCCTTTCAGTGATGGCTGGCGTTGCTTGCAATCGTGCATTCAAAACCTCCAAGCCAATGGCCGCAGTTGTCACCACGCCCACTAATGTTAGTAGGTATCCGGCAAGATTCCCCTCAGTCGTCTCTGTTATTTTTCCGCGAGCTTTCGCGAAGCCTGCACCAAATACCACACACCCGATGCCTAAAGCAAGCACAATTCCCCTGGCAGTGTAAACGAAGAGCCTCTTTGGTGGTATCTCTACTTCCCCGCGATGGAGGAGTATTACAATGAGCGTGAGTGTCGCGATCAAGGTTATGATGCATCCTGATAGGGTGATGATGTTACCACCGCTGCGAGACGACAATGTTGTAGCGAAGCATGTCGCTCCTCCGGTACACAGAGCCAGAACGGCAGACACCGTACCTAACCACCCGGCAGTAGTCCATTGAGCGTAAATTCTTAAGATTACTAAAATGGGGACAGCCACGGAGACTACCGCGAAAATATCAAACATCTCGCCAGTTGCTGCAGGTTCTGGTATCTTCCATATTCCAAGCCCAATAACGTAAAGCAGCCAGCTAACCCCTAGCACCATCACACAAATCCGAAGCAAATACTTGGAGTCTGCTGCGGATGGGAAATGAATCCAGTGTTCTGATTCTTCGTGATGACTCGGGTCCAATGCTAGCTTATCCTTTTCACCCTGCGTCAGATCCAAGTCGCCGCTTGGACGTACTCGTAGGATAATAAGGAGCACTTTTGAGAGAATAATAATCATGGAGCCTCCCGCAACAGCCGCCTCTCCCGTGCGACTCGGAGAAGATTGAGATGCCACGTTTACACATGCGAAGTGGAAAGTCGCAGTCGCTGACCACAAAACAATTGCTGATAACGCATACAGCATTGTTCGGATTCGCCGTCGGTCCAGTCGCAGATGAGTGAGATAGAGGCTTGCATAAAGTACACCGCAGGAAAGTAGCACAATATTTGCTGCTGCCTCCCCTGTCGATTCTGGTAACGACCCTAGCGCATTGCACAAGACCCAAAACCCAATTGCGAAGACAATCCATCCTACTACACTCAGCGCGAAGAGCAGATGTGGGTACCGAATCCTCAACTCGCGATTTGGCCAGTGTACCTCATGCTTCCGCGCCATCATAACTCCTGCCAAAAGCGCAGTTGCGGGAACTGAGTACAGAAGGCTTGCGATCAGCATCCCAGTCGAAGGACTTGGTGTAGGCTCGGGGATACACCAGAAGAAAACGTAGCCTGCGGCAGCGATGGACGGCACCAGGGTGCCTAACCCAATCACATAGTATCGATCTCTTGATATGATGAGCCAGCAGACGGCCATCACTATAGTGATGACCCCACTAATTGCGAAGACGAAGTGTCCGGCGAACAATCCCAAATTGGACGATGGTCGCAAACGCCAAAATGACACCACAAACGCTGCCCACGCGAAGGATGAGGTAGCAATCCCAAGTTTGAATATGACCTGAAGGTGGGGCCAGGCCAAAAGCACGCGATGAAGATCTGCAAATCGCTCCGTGGGTTTTTCATTAGGTTTTGATAGTTTATTTTCTCTAACAGGTTCTGCCAAGGTCGAGGCAGATACCATGACCTCAGAATGGCCCTGCTGCCGTGGGTATCTCCCAGACCATCGTCTCTCCGACTCCTCCTCAGTCTCAGCTTTGCACATCTCCCCTGTCAGGAAGGCATAAGAGATCCATACTTTCAAACCGATCATCAGGATCACAGTGCCAGCTAGAATAGATCGATCTCCTATGAGGGATTGCGAACCGCACGCAAAATTTGTGCAGTGCGCAAGGTGGCCACTTGATGCAAACCCCGCAGCGCCAATTTGTGTTACTGCCCCGGCGGTGATCACGGTCGGAAGAATGGTGGACAGAATGATTTGCTGAAGCGCATCTGGGCGCACGGTTGTTGTGTTCGGATTGAGTACATTGCTTATCAATAAACGGGCTCCAAGGTAAGCGGCGAGACTAAGGGCTGAGAGCACAGCTCCTAAGATGGGGGCAACCGCGCGCAGCCCGATCGTCAACTGAACGGAGATGCCCACTCCAGCGATGTATGCAGACCATCCTGAGCTCCATAATATCAGTAGGGCAGAGAACACGCTTTTGCGGCCCCGTTGCTTTGACAGCCCAAGGGATGCCGTTGGAGGCAGAACAAGACGATGCGTCATCAGACACAGCAGCGTTGTCGCTGACACAAGAAACATGAAACCTCCTGCAATAACGCAGCATGAGGCAGCTAATTCGTCCGTTCCATCATTGACAGCTTGTGCCGCTGCATCAACAAATCGTCCCAGCGACGCCAAGCCAATGACCATGACGACGCCAGACACGATAGCTAGACGTCGACTGTCACGGAGCAGTGCAATTGTTGCTAACGCAATTGCAGTAGGAGCAGTACAGGAGAAAACGATTCCTGCTACCAGAACATCGGATTTCGCAAGATCTCCTGTCGCAGCCCCAAATCCCCCGACGGCGATAATCCATCCCACAATTGCGATGATGGCTACAATTTTCCATGTCGACCACATTGTGGAATTTTGGGTAATCGACGTGAAGAAAACTGGTGTCCTGGGTGGCAGTGGCAAAGAGACATCCGACGTCCCACGACTCCACACTTCACAAATCTGTTGTCTCAAGCGTTGGCGCAAGGCCTTACTCTGGAGGGTGTCAAACTCCCATCCTTTGATCAATAGCGCCGAGGTTAGACAAGTCGCACAGATGATGGACCCTGAAAGCATCAAATTCTGATGAACCGTGCGGCTTGCTCCCGTTGAGTCCCCAATAACAGCGCCAAGAAAAACCAGCGCAAGTACCCCACTAGCTCCAGCTGCTCCATTCAAATGTCGCCCGTTCTGCTTGGACGACAGTATAGAGGTCACCGCAGCTAGCGGCGTTGCGACCGCTGCTCCATAGAGGCCCAGAGGAAGTGACTTGCCAAGATCTGCCTGGTGTCTGCCTATTCCCACCGCCAGAATTATCCACCCGAAAACAGTTCCGATTGTCACTATAAGCACACTTCGCTCCGCCTCCATTCTTGTATGAGAGTAGCGGAATCTTGAAATGAAGGTTCTTAGTACTTGACAGGCCACATAGATCACTGCCCCGGCTAACATGAGGTGTTCTCCGGACGATGTTCCGTAGGACGCTGCTTGCGCAGCATGACCTGCAGATAAGGCTGTGGTTGATGAGACGCACGTCGAAACAGGCAAGATCCAGCGGGTAGAATTGAATGTCATGACTACGGAAAGGCTCAATGACAGCGCGCCCAGGATACCGAAGATATAAGTCAGAGCAGATATCTGCGACAGTTCAGCGGCTTCCGCCCCGCCTATGACAAACATGCACCATCCTGCCAGAGACACCATATCGGCAATAGTGGCACCGATACGGGCTGTTTGTTTATTCATCAGCGTTACATGCGTGAGGATAGACTTGTGAAACACCGGATATCGCTCCAAATGAGGTTTACGCATTTGAAGTCTAACTATCAGATATAGCGATCCCACCGAGATTATGACCACTGGAACGGTGGCCACCGCAACTGCCCATCGCGTTTTCGGAGAGGCATCACGTAATGGAGAAGTCGGCGTAGATGTAGTAGGGGCTCGTGCTCCCGCATCTCCTCCTTGACGTTCTCCGAGTGCTGCTATCGCAGTACCGACGTTGTGGACCACAACTGCATCAACTCCTGCCTGGCGGGCGAATTTGAACCCCGCTGATATTTCTGTCTGCTTCGTGAACAGGGCCGCAACTCTGTGCCCTCTCCTCTGCTCTGCTATTACAAGCAGGGGATTTGCAACTACATTTTCGAATGGGTAAACCATGATGTCCAGACCTAAAGATGGAGAAAAGTCAAGGGCCGACATGGCACTGATGTCACGCTTATATCCTATGCTGAGGCTGACAGCCGGAAGATCTAGGTGCAGTAGATTGCGCAGCGCGGCAAGATTGGTAGGAATGAGAACTATAGGTGGCAGGCTTGAAGTGGTGGTGCAAATGTACTAGTGCCGAATAAGATTGATGGAGTCAGCAGATTAATATCACGTTCCATGGAAGGATACGACGCAGACCAGAAATATGTACCTCTGCCAACCCCTTTACATTTGCAAGTGCGGCACCAGAATTAAAAAAGACTGTTCCACTCACTGTCTGCAACATACTTCCCGCTGCTGACGAGGTATCATATTGCTAACCAGAGGCAAGATTATTGGCTTTATATAGAAGTCGAAAAGGACTTGGACTCACCTTATAATTTACTAGGACACCCCTCGCTCTAGCGTCTGGTATCGGCGAAGTTCCGGGAATGACACTTTCCGCGTTCCATATCACATCAACTGTCCTTCCACCGCTGCTGTTGATCCCGTATACTGGAACAATTACTGCCAGCACGACAACAACAATCAACACCCCTACCCCAATACCCCAAAGGGCAAGTTGGCACTTTATGCCATTCCCAACCCGCTTTGCCGCTTCCGAAATCTCCCCTACTCCCAGTATAATACAACTTGCTGCCACCGCTAGATACATTCCGTTCAGAACCGTGGTGAAGAATGCGGCAAGCACCAGTAGCGACATAGACCAGCGAAGAGCACACTGGGTTGCGAGTCTCCATTCATTTGGAGGCGCTGTGGGAGATGTTCTTTCATCTGCGTTCTCAGCATGAACCCGTTTGATTTTCTTCCTACTTCCTCCTAATCGTCTCAATAGCCGACCGACACGGTCCATTTCCTGAGTTCGACCGGTGGTCGTTATCACAATCAAGGTTCCCATCGGCCAAAGTCCGTACGCAAAGAAATATGCAAAATCCTTCCATACAAGGAAGGGGACAACTGTGGCAATAATTAGTGCGACAGCTAGAGAGATACGACGCATGCTGGAACGCAACAGAAAAGGGATCTCCACATTTCCAAAAGCATTCATTACAATTTGGCAGAAAATGACCACCGAATAGATCGTCAACAAGAGCGTCGGTAGACTGGTTCGGGTATCAGTTAACCAGGTGACATTCAGGACAAGAATAAGTACCAGCAAGCATGCTAGGAGGACGGCACTAGGAATTAGAACGATATCCGCCAACGTGAATCTGGATGTGATCGCTCGTAACCAGTGATCGTCCTGCTCCTGGACAACATGGATCGCGTCCAGCCGATTGTGTCGCGGAGTGGTGACAGGAGTAGGCAAGCTGCTGATGCGTCGCGAAGATTGGTCTAACCATTGCGAAGGTCGTCGGGGAGCGCCATATACAGAAGCACGACCAGGAACCACGCTCATAGATCGTTGCCGATTATAGGAAGTATTCTCGACCGAGCTTAGAGCGGCGCCCCGCTCGGGTCCGATATCATGGACAGCTCTATCTTCGGCGGCGGAATGGCTCCGAAAGCAGCACAGCAGAACAAGGATGCACCAAGTCACCAAATAGAACCACTCGTACAGATGTATCCAGACGTCTCCCTCCTCTGCTCCACGATTGGGACAAAAAATATCGAGCGTGAATAACACTGACAGTGTGGATGTAACAATCGTCAATCCTGACAAGGATAATGTGGCCAACAGCATCTATAGAAAATGGTCATTCATGTCCCGCTCGGGAGCTTACAGTTATCTAACATTGTAGCTCACCTCAACTTCAATGTATGTCGACCTCGAATCAACAACCAGCCCTCGTAGCCCACCAGTCACGGTAATTCCAGCAATGATGCCTCGTAGAATTTGGAGACAGACAAAGACTGCCCGCGTCGCATTTCTTAATCCACCTACTGGAACGACTGCTTCCGTTTTGAGTTGTGCCGCATATGCGCAGAACAATGCGAGGTATAGAACAGATAGTACTACGTAGAAGACGAAAGCAAGTCCCGCCCATGATGTACATTGGAATTTGAAGGCGTGCATCCATGACCTACGAGCGCTGTGAGAATAAAATTTGAACCAATGACTTGTATACCAAGCTATTACCGATAGTTCAGGACGACCAGAACAAATTGGATGCCGTAGACTAAGATCTCGCACAATGCAGAAACGATGTACCATCCAGGAGTCGATGCCATCACGTGGAGGGCAAATCCAGTGAGATACGCTAACTCAACGCTACCGTCAGGCTCATGGGAACTAGGACAGTTACAAGCTACTAAAAGTCACCTTACCTATCCCCAGCAAAATTACGCCTACATGGAGACAAATATTCAAAATTTGGAATTCCGATAGATTCGTCAGCGCTGCAAAGCCGGTGAAGCGGTTATACTGTCTCAGAGTCTTGATCAGAGAGAGGAAGGAGGAGAGTATTCCAGAGAGAGCAAGAAGCGCATGCGCTGATGTATAGCCAATCTGCATGGATATAAAATGTACAGTCTAGAAGCTTGTCACTACAGCGCTTGCGATGTACGTACCTCGGAAATGTAATTAATCCATGGATCATCTGTCGCAAGGTCCCGCCATGCACACGATCCAGCAAAGTCTGAATCCTGTAAGATTCCGGACGCATAATTACACAAGGTGGTCGACATTGCGGTCATTGAGCTGGCTGAAAGAGCATCTGTAGGTAGAGGGTTGCAAGTGCCTTTGAAGCGGAGGCTTTCTTTAAGCCAAGGGCCCTGTTGTACGTTACCGTGAGCACACGGAGACCTTTACCATGAGCAGGGTATCGATCGGATTATGCCGTTCTATCATGACCTGACATCCGCATACGAAGGCGTCTGTTCGATCTGCAGCTTGGCCCTTAATCCCCATGTCTAGAGAGCAGGTCACTCCATGCTTACGTCAAGCCGAACAACACGTAGGTGGCACAGCTTGCAGTGTCCGAGAGTTCACTATTGTGTGTACTGTTGGTAGTGTAGAGGTGACAGAAAATGGCACTAGCTACTACACCAGGGAATAAACCAGCGATAACTGGTTCGGAAAAGCCAAGTAATTCCCTCCTTACAACCAACCAACTACCACTAGGCCCAATTACACATGCAATACATTACGGTTTTTCTAACCGGGTAACTAAGCCCACCACCACGAGAGAAATCCTACTGTCGGAGGATGTTCAGATGCTTGCGAGTCGAGGATGGGTAAAGAGGAAAGGGGAAAGAGACAGAAGGTCCCCCTTTTATAGACCTTTGGCATGCGCCTCACCGCAGTTTAAAAAAAAAGTTACATTAGCCTGCCACACTGCAGTTTGGAGAATATTAGCAGGCTGCTTTCAGCGATGGGGGGTTCTGATTATGCGATATGATTAACCGGACTATCCGGATAATAATGGGTCTTAGTGCCATTTTTTATCACCTCTACACTAGAAAGCATCTACATGATGAGGTACATAGCAGGACATTGAAAATTGTTTTCTACTTAGATACATCAGCAAACTGCACACAAGGCTTTCACCACTAATTCTATAGCACGATTCAGTTCCTCTTGCGGTCTATGTCCTTTCTCTACATCTACCGATGGGACATGGAGAAAAAATACAGGAGGGGCTACTTCCCAACGGCGTTTGGCCCAATGCATCCCATGGTAGAAAATGTACTCACAGAGATAGAGGCCGGCATTCGTACTGGTCCCAACCTTCCACAGTCCTTTTGAAACTTCAAAGGTCTGTTCAACGTCAGGAACATCTCCAGTATCATTCTTTTTCGCTATCTCTTCACTTTCCGTCGGTACTTCAGATGATGACTTGGAAGGCGTGTTTGGAGTGTCGCCTAGACTATCCAGCTCCTGTTGTACTCGTTCAACGACTTGGGCCAGTAACTTTGGACAAACCCGTAGCTCTTCTTCAACCGTATGCTCTCCCACATTCCCCAATCCTTCAGGCGGAAAGCATTGATTTCCTTCGGGAAGGTCTCCGACGACGTCTTTTGACATGTATGGCCCGTTCCTGGCACGAGTCTCGAATACCATGTGGGCGGGCTTCAATTGCCCACTAGCTCCAACATGGAGAACAAAACGTGGGGAACTTGCAGCATTGAAGAATGTTGGCGCTATGGCTTGTATCTCCAGTTTTAGTCTCTAATTGCACAACAACGTAGTGCAGTGGTAATCTTACCATGCACACGATGGTACTCGACGGGGATTTCCATGACATGAACGAGAACCTCATTTTGTTGATGTCCTTCGTTGTTATCAAGGCCTAGGCCTGGGAACACCCTAGCTTGCAAATTACGGACAGATTCATACGAGGGATTCACCTTAAAAGATTTAAAGGGCTATTTGGCCAACAGGATGTTGGTTTTCTATAACACTCCTCCAGAAACAGAGAGACAGGCCGCCATACCCCATATCCTGTAATAAGGGCGAACTTTTGGTCAATTGAAGGCTCGTCAACTTTCTTCGTCATGGTGTCGGCTTGCCGTTGTCCCGAAACAGGCTGCTGATGTGTACGGGATTTCGCTTACGAGATGCACGTGATCGACCGTCAGTGCTCGTCGTTGCTTTTGTAGCGATCTCCCATTGCAACTGGATGCTATCCATCCCGTTAACGGAAACCCTAAAACGTACTTTGCGCCCAAATTATAGACAGCATTTTTGCATCATTCACGGGCCCCTCGGAGGTGTTGCACTGACGTTGCCAGCCATCCCCACCATGGGGACTGACCGCGCGCATGTCCTCTTAGAGGAGACCTCGTACCAAACAGCGTTACGAACTGCGGTTGCAAACTTTGTTGTCGCCGCTGGCAAAAATGACGATGATGAGATTCCACGCAAAGTGAAACCTGGCATTATCGTGCCTCTTTCCACTTTCTTCTCGGTCGGTTTGCTATGCTTCTTCGTATTTTGCTGCGTACGGACTTTTTTTCGAGACATTTACTCCCCCAGGCGAGCTCTGGCAAGGTGAGATGTGAACGCAGCCGGAGGGCAAACTACGGGAGATGTACTTGTGATGACGGCGCTATGGGAACTGAATCAGTTAATCGCATTTTTTTTATTTTTTTTTTTGAAACTCTTCTCAGCGGGCGACCTCCGCGTCTTCCTAAAGGCTTTCTATCATGGGTGCCCACATTATTTCGAATGCCAGAATCCCTTTTAGTCAGTACTGTGGGCTTGGACGGCGTCCTGCTCCTTCGCTTTTTCAAAATGGGAGCCCATCTCTTTGCGGTTTTGAGTTTTTTTGGCCTGAGTATCATTGCACCCGTCAACTACTACGCAAACCCGCCACAATTTGACAACTCTACTGGCATTCTCTACGAAGACGTTCTAATTCCCGCTCTCACGGTCGAGAACGTTCCCCATCAGTCGCCCTCGCTGTGGATCCATCTGTTCTGTACATGGTTCTTTTCTCTCGTTGCCTACGCCTATCTTATAACGTATTATCGGGGATTAGTTGATCTGAAATTGCAATATGTGGATCACGTTTTACGGCGCACCAAAATGAGTAAGATCGAGCTAAGGTCCCTTATTGTCTTTGGAATACCACGGGAGCTTCGACATGAGGTCGATCTGGCGTCTTACTTTGAAGGCCTCGGCATTGGCAGAGTGGAGAACGTAGTAATATGTCGCAAGTGGTCCCGTCTAAGAGAGGCGGTGCAGAACCGTGCGTATTACTTGACAAAACTCGAGAAAGTCTATGCTGCGGTTATGAGAAATCTTCATAAGCGCCCCCCCGCTAGCGGGCTTCCTATGTTCCGGAACGGTAGCTCCGGAAGTACCGCCACGGCTGGACCAACCTTGCATTCTGGGTCAGCGGATTCTGGGCTTGGAATTGATCTAGGCGGACGCGGCAGTGAGGAACGATTTGATGTGGCGTATAGCCCCGATGAAAGCGAGGATCCAGGTTCAGAAGCGTACCGTCCGCTCGCACCTGTCGGACGACGTTTTACAACCTCGGATCCTGTTGACGCCAGTATATTCGAGTTGATGAGTCGGTTAGACGCTGTCGATCCCCGAAAGCGACCGACCCATAGAACGGGTTTCTTGGGCCTGCGCGGACCAATTGTCGATTCAGCCGAATATTATGCGGACAAGTTCAAAGAATGGGATCGTAAGGTTCGGAGGCTGAGAAGAGTACCAGAGTCCAGTCCGGCCACTTCGGCCGGATTCGTAACCTTTGAGTCGCCTGAGAGCGCGGTATGTGGTCATATCTGGAGATGAGCGTTGATATTGGGCTCATCGCAGCTTTTACTTTTGAGTAGATCCTTGCCTCACAGGTTCTTATACACCGGCGACCATTTGCATGCATGGCACGGCAGGCGCCAGAACCCCGTGACATATTTTGGGTCAATCTTTCATCCAAAGTTGCTGTTAGCTACATCAAGATGTTTCGTTCTGTCGCTGTGGCAGCCACGCTATTTGTATTGGTGTTTTTCTCAACTATTATCGTTACTGCTATCTCAGCATTGATCAGTTTGGAGAAACTGCAAAAGACATTCCCAGGATTGACCTCATTCCTTGACAACCTTGGACCGGGTTGGACGCAATTCATCCAAGGGGTTATTCCAGCTGTCGTTACTGCAGCGTGGACCTCTAGTCTTCCTGCCGTCTTAATCCGTAAGTAAATCTGATGCTCAGACATCCCTTGCTGCCGTAGTCTGAAATCACTAATCAAACCTCATATGGAACAGTTCTGGCGCAAGCTCAAGGTTTAGAGGCGCAGAGCTGGATCGACGCATCGGTGTTGTCCAAGTAAGCTGCCCACGGATGCTTTCTGAAGGAGGGTGCGCAATCTGATCCACTTTTTGCAGGTACTTTTTCTATCAACTGTGGAATATCTTGCTGGTGCAAACCGTGGCCAGCAAAGTCTGGCAGTCCGTGTATGATATCATTAGACATGGACCTGGAGAGATCATTGATGCGCTTGGAAGTTTGGTTCCTTCGGTATGCGGAGGCCGTGCTTTTATCTCCAGCAAGGTTCTAATCACCTCATTTCACGCGTAGGCGGCGCCGCTGCAAATCAATTATGTGATGCTTCAAGCAACAGCGGTTTATCCAGCTCAACTTCTCCTTGTCGGTCCCCTGATATTGACATGGCTAACGCGCATGGCACCTTGGAGTAGAAGCACTCCGCGTCAAGTTTCTGACGCATACTATCCAAGTGTCTTAACAAGTATCAACTACGGGATCGCCTACCCTGTGCCTATTTTGGTTTTTTGTGTGGGCTTAACTTATGCACCTGTCGCACCACTTATTCTTCCATTTTGTACCATGTTTTTTGCAATTGCATGGTTTGTTTATAAGGTGAACCGAAATACCTTTTCGTCATGGTACGATGGCCTCTGTAGCTGACCAGAATTTTTGGCCTTCATAGTATTTGCTTCTTTATGTGAATATTCCGCGTTATGAAACTGGAGGCAAACACGCACCAATGGTAGTCAGAAGATGCCTCGCTGGCATACTCATCATGCAGATGACAATGATGGGTGTTCTTGCACTCAAGGCTGGGTCTGGAATCAAAACTCAGCACCACGGTGATGACGAGAACGGTTTTTTCATAATGGATGATAAGGGAGGTGCAAAGTTGCGTTGGACGGGATACGTCCAGATGGTTGTTGGAGTTATGCCACTATTGGTCATTACGAGCCTTCTTTACTGGTGGTTTAAGCACGGTTTTGAACAGTTGGTGGAAAACACCCCATTAGATGTTGTTGGAGCTGTTGCGAAGGACCTAGCTCGAAGTCGGAACGATGTTGGTGCGAGCACAGACGCATTGGTTGTTGGGGACCTGGAGAAAGGGAAAGAACTGGCGACCGTTACTTCGGGGCGTCGAACAGGAAACACCAATGGGACGATGAGCAAACGAGCATCAATCAGGGCCATTAGGGGACGGGTGCGAAAAGGTAGTACAGGGGCTGGTGACCGAGGCATAGGGCAAAAGGAAGACAGTGATGAAGACTGGATGCGAGAGACGTCTGACCATAGGCCGCTATCTACCGCGACCGATCGAGAGGTGCAGTCGTCGTCGAGAGGGCCGGTGGGTGCTGCGAGTTCGCCCACAACCTCAGATGTGAATGACCAGGCATCTTCCCCGACACGCTTCGACATGATCAACGAAGAGTCGTTTGACGGACAAGCCTATCGCTACAGCCATGATTTATACGGTGGCGATGATGAGGCAACTAGCTTACTGATAACTGAAAACGACGAAAGTCAGTCACTGTTACATGATGATCATGAACACCCGCCATCTGACATCGAGGATGGCACACCGACGCCTCATTTGGAGCCTCCAATGACGCGGGTGCCAGGCATTCTGGATGCTCCATTCATATCGGCTACAGCTATCGTACCCGCTGGCGATGAGGCGGACAATACAGCCTCACTATATTTTGACAATGAAGAGGATGATCTTCAGATTCATACATACGTCCATCCTGCTCTGATTGGTCGCCTTCCGGTGGCATGGGTACCGGGGACGAGCCAACCGCGACGGATCCAAGAAGCGAGGGAGGAGCAGCGGCGGGAACAGAAAGAGTTATATCGGCGTATCGTTGGAAGACAACGAGTCGGCGTATGGGAGTTGGCTGATGGTGATGACACTGCAGGTAGAAGTACCAATAGCGCGGGGCAACATACAAGTCGGGATGGAGTGCCGGGTGATGTGAGGGTAGGACGAAGAAGAAGAGATAGCGGTGTAGTCAGGAAAGTGTTGAGCTTTGTGGATGGAGTGACGAGTTGGGCACACTTGAGCATGAGTTAAAAAGTTGTATGTAGGTTTATTGATATACATGTTTTAATGTCGTTTCATAATGTCGGTTTCAGCAGATGGGAACATTTACTGCCAATCCCCCCTGACTGGTTTCCTTGTATTTCGATTGCATATCCACGCCCTGAATGTGGAGTCCGTTTAACACTGGTGCATGACAGTGATGCGGCAAATCATAAGACTCCATACGTACCGTTTGCCTCATCGTCTCAATCACATTGTCCAAACTCACTCGATGGGTTCCATCGCCATTTAGCGCCAGTTGGGCTGCAGTGACAGCTTTAACTGCTCCAAGAGCATTCCTCTCGATACACGGAATCTGTACCAACCCCTTGACTGGATCACACGTCAAGCCCAGATTGTGTTCCATGGCGATTTCCGCCGCATTCTCGACCATTTCCACACTAGCGCCCATAACAGCTGCGAAGCCAGCAGCAGCCATGGAACACGCCACACCGACCTCCCCCTGACATCCCATCTCAGCTGCGGAAATGGAGGCTCCACGTTTGTAGAGCATACCTATTGCCGCAGCAGTGAAAAGGAACTCGGTGATGTCTGATTCGTGAGCACTAGAATCGCTGGCGTCAGAGAAGAATTCGAGGTAGTATTTGAGTACAGCCGGAATGACACTAAAGTCCAAAGAAAGAGTCAATTTTCCAAACATCCATTTTTGCATACTGTATGTGCTCGCAAATCACATCCATACCCAGCTGCACCATTTGTTGGAGCTGTGACTACTCGTCCTCCTGCAGCATTCTCCTCATTCACAGCAATAGCATAAGCACTCAAAAAGTCCAAGGCAGGAAGAACCATTCGTTTACGATTTCTTCGCCTGAGGACATCCACTCCATCTTTGTGATACTGCGACACACCCTTTGACCGTTGCGCGGGCACTGGAGTAGATGTTGATTCTGCCCGTCCTACACCACCGCCACGCTGGCCATAAATGCCTCTTTGCAATTTTTGATACAACCCAGGCGCTCGCCGCTGGACTTTGAGCCCCCCTGGAAGCACGTCATTTTTATCCGCCAGACATCCATTTTCAATACTCTTGTCCATCACCTCCCAAATTTGCTTGGTCTTTCGTCGGATCTCTTCAGCTGATCTCCATCTGCGCTCGTTTTCCCAGACGACTTGGGCAATACTCATTCCTTCTCGATGACAAACCTCCAGCAGTTGTTGGCCGTTACGAAATGGTAGGGCAGCGGTTGTTACAGCCAAGTCTTGATTCTTCCTACCCTCTTCTACAGCGCTCGGATCGTACGACATGTAGTACACGTTTTCACCGTGGGCGACACGCGTACGTTCATTCACAACGAAGCCACCACCGATTGAAAAATATTCGTTGCACGCTACGAGCTCTGCAGATTCATCCATGGCAAGGAAGCGCATGCCATTGGGATGTTGAGGGAGGGAAGCTGCGGGGTGGAAGATGAGGTCACGAGTCGGGTGAAAATCAATTGGGTGAGTCCCGTTGAGTGTGAGGGTGGAGGTTTCGGCGATCGTACGGCATCTGGTTGGAATGGAATGAGCGTCTACCTTTTCAGGAGCTGTGTCCAGAGGTAAGCAGATAGAAAATGTGACATGCAAGACAAGCAATCGATGCGCAACGAACCTTCCCCTTCCAGTCCCATAAGAATAGCATTGCTAGCGTCAAAAGAACTCAGCTTTGCAGCAAGAATTAGACGATTAAGACTGTCATACGTACGGTGTGCCGTGTCCTTCTCCCGTTAACGCCAGACTTCCATACAAATGCACCTTCATAATTTTGACCCGCTCCAATACTCCGGCTTTCCTCAAATCCTCCAAAAAGATTTTGGCTGCTCTCATTGGTCCGACAGTGTGACTATCGACAGCCACTGGGTCAGTTGGACGCGAATGAATACAGAAAGATTTGAATTTCGTAGCCTTACCTGGAGCTTGGCCCAACCCCGATGCTGAACAGATCAAATGTACTGACAACAGCATGATGGTCGTCGTTGAGTGGGGCAGATGTTACAGCTGGCGTTTCCGCCACTATCGGCCGCTGGACTGGTGACAGGATAGGTTCGACGTCAAAGGCTGAGGCGCTTGACAAGCGTCGTGCGCTGCTGCCATTGCCAATAGGTTTCAGGAAGCATGCAGACGGGCGTGGGTATCGGTATGAAAGAAGACGGCGAGTGCAACGAATAAGCGGTGCGTGGTTGGAGGTAACAGCCGGTCGTAGGGACGCCATGGCGATAAACAAAAATCGTGTCGCTCACAAACAAATTTCGAAAATGCAAGGATGAGCACAAGTACAAGCGTCCGACAAGACGTCCGCTATTTCCTCGTTATGCGTTCGTGACCTCGCCTATGCACTCGCTTATCGACAGCCGGTGGTGACCAAAAAAAAAACAAAAACAAAAAGGTCAAGGCCAACACCAAACACCGCAATGCAACTTCTTTTGGTAACGTCCGCGCTCACGTTACTTTTTGCACTTGAATTTCATGGTTCAAACTCCGATATGGAAGGGCTTTGGGAGACATTTCAAAAAGATAACTGCAGATATGGCATTTTACATTTCTGCATAGCAGGATATCGCACAATGATCCTTGTCGCATTGCATCGCATCATGGCATATTACCCATTTTCAATCGTTATTCGACTGCCAATTAGTCATTCCAACGGCATTCCATACTCGCTGAAAGTTCTTCCTTATTGCCGCGCGCATAGATTGAACCAAAAATCAAATCCTGATTTGAAATGTTTCGAACTGAATAAATAAACCATTGTGACATTTAACCGACAAATGGTGAGCCCCTTTCTGAACGCATGCCCAATAATAGTGTGGTTATGCATGACTTGGAATGCATTCCATTTGTGGCACAGTCATGTAAGTCCAAAGCCTTGGCTGCAGAATCTGTGACGTGATCGGCTGACTCATCAGAGATGTCTGACGTCTAACCTGCGTTGAGCCCTTCTTCAAGAGCAGACGGCTGTTCCTCTACCTTGTTTCTCCACATTGGCATCCAGCACACAACAAAGCAGAGAAAAATGCCTTCTGCAATTGTATTTGGCGCTAATGGCATCTCGGGTACGGCAATGCTTCAAGCCTTGGTGGCCCAGGAACCAGCACAGTTTTCGAAAATCGTCGCCATTTCACGTCGTCCTCCTCAAATCAATCTTGACGATCCTCGCATTCATTTTGTCTCTATTGATATCCTCAACTCTAGTCTAAACGAAATTATCAAAAAGATGCGCGACGCTGGAACTCAAGACGCATCCCATGCCTTTCATTACACCTACATTGCCAAGAACGACGAAGAGGAGCTTACAGAAGTCAACAAGGAACTGTTCCACAAGGCACTTGAGGCCACTGCCGCGGTTGCAAAGGATTTGAAATGTTTTTTGCTGCAAACTGGCTACAAGTATTACGGAGTTCACAAGGGTGGAAAGTACCTCGCGCCTATTCCGTTCAAAGAAGATGCGCCTCGACACGAAGGCCTCAATTTTTATTATGTCCAAGAAGACATGCTCAAAGAAGCTGCGGAAAAGCACAACTGGAAATGGATCGTCACTCGGCCCAATTTCATCATTGGGGTTACTAAAGGCAATTTCATGAACCTCGCTGTAACCTTGGCTCTGTACGCTGTTCTTCGTAAGGAACTCGGGCAGCCATTCACGTTCCCGGGTAATCAGATCATGTACGACAACATTGTGGATCACTCGGCTGCTATCAACAATGCTAGGTTCCAGCTCTGGTGCGGAGAGAATCTAGAGAAAACAGGGAACAGAGCATTCAACATTCACGATGGGGATAAGATTCGGTTCAGAGATGTTTGGCCCAAAATAGCAAAGTAAGAGCTTGTCCGAATCAAAGAAATTTCTCGTCGTCTAAATGTCACCTGTAGCTACTTTGGCCTTTCTCTGCCTTCTGAAGCCGAATTTTTCACAATCCCGAAGCCAAAGCCCGGCGAAATTGCGTTGCAACTTTCTGTTGAGGAATACGCAAAGGACAAGCACGACCTATGGCGAAAGATCTCTCAAAAGTATGGCTTGGATGAATCTGCGTTTAACTATGCCACCTGGGATTTTGCTGGTAAGCCACATTTACTCCTTCTCAGGCAGATTTGGATAGTAACTGTATGAATATCTCTAGACTTTGCGACCGGTCGGACATGGCCCGATGACGGGGACATGAGTCGTGCTCGGGAAGCTGGATGGACGACGACGGTGGATTCATTTGAAATGTACAAAGAAGTGTTTGAGAAGATGAAGAGGCTGCAGATGATCCCGAAATATTGATCTTATATACCACATGAAATTACATTGTGAAAGGATTCCATCTCATCATTTGTCCAAGATTTAAGCGCAAGCTTGATTCGCTTTCATTTGGCTCAACTGCTTCTTCATCCATGTCAAGTGCGCCGTCGGGATTTTCCCCTTCAGGCACCACTTTTCCCAGTTGGTAGGCAACCATTCCTTCCGTAGATCCTACCACGATAATGCCTCGCGTAAGCCCGAGTCTCGCGGATGAGAACCCAGCTCCATTAACTTTAACATGACGCATCGTTATTGGTATGGGGATGTCTATACTGGAACTTGACTGTTCAAAGTAATGAAGGGCGATCACACCATCCCAGTCACAACTGACCAGGCAATCGCCAGCAGATGATGTGATTGCGGACGGAAATGCAGGATGGACAGTATGTTGACGGTGTGAATGCGCTTCGCGGCCCGGTCTGCAATCCCAAGTGTCAAGAATCCCACGGCGACGATGACCACCGACGTGAATCGTATACGGACTAGATGGATGCGAACCGGTCAGTGATGATGCATACATGCCCGTATGAAGGGCTTTGAGAAGCTTCGAGGGCATTCGGAGATCCGTAATTGACAAACGTGGAAATCGTCCGCCAGTTACCAGTGCATGGGACGGAAGGTACTCCAGGCCAAGAACTGTCCCTTCTTCCCGCCAGCTTGCTAAACATGCCGCAGGTTTCGAGCGGCGATCAAATATTTTGACCATCGCACGCTCACATCCCGCAAATATTAGGTTTTCTTTAACGTTCACCGAGGGTACTGCATTCGTCTCCGTTGAGAATGTCGAGATAGTTCTTCCACTTTCCATATCCTACAAATGACTCACTGTCGGCGTTCCAGCGCAAATTGTCAGTAACTTTAAGACATACCTTGATATAAATGTGTCCACCCCAGGAACACAGTAGTTCTTTCTCATCCCAACCACATCGGGTCATCGATGTGGTCCCTCTATGTCCGCTTCTAGGTGCTTCTGTATATGATTCATTGCTTTCGACACTGTTGACACGATTGACACAGTGCAATCGCAAACCGTTTGTCTGGTCATCGGCCTCCAATTTCCAGAACGATAGCCCCTCCTCAGATATGGCAAATACAAGTCCGCGTTCTTCATCCAATGCTACGTCCCACACTAAATCATTGCACCCTGTTTTGCTTCGTGGTATGTTGTGGAGACGAGAATATCGCCATCTGTAAAGCTGTCGGTAATTGGTTTGGAGTGAAGAGGTGCGAAACCTATTTGACAGATCCCTCCGAAACCAGACTTTTTGCCATAATGAATTGTCTGTAGCTATCCGACATAAACGACGGGATGCTGCAGCACAATGGAGAATGTCATGTGCGGATAACTGGGAAAGAATGGCTGCGTGGAGTTCGTCTGGAAGACACTCCATGGCCCAATTTTGCCCAGCACCCTCAACGGCACAAGATAAAGGCGCGTCATCCCAATCGGATTTGTAAACTTGGCTTGGGGGCATTTGAGAAAATGTACCGCCGTCAGCTCATTACATTCCTGCGACGAGTCGCTCCGTTGACCGTGCTCACCATTCCACCTATGAACCCAATCCCAACCCCCGAAAAGCCTTTGCAAAAACCTTCTCACCATGATCCCACCGGGGGCTTTAGGAACCCATGGCCGTCATGTCACATGCAGACACTTTGGTCTGCATTTGGCCTTATGAAGGATTGGCGCATGAGCAACACTTGGAAACTACCTCCGAAAGAAGAGCGAGTACAAGTGGTCGAAATGGATTGGGAGAAAATCAAAAATCCAAGTGCGGACGGTTCAATACAGGCGACATGGTATGCAGTACTGGCGACGGTTTGCGTGCCAAGGGGCTTGCTTTAATGTGACCCAGGCTAGGCCATGCTGCATTCTTGATTCAAATTGAAGGAGTGAATATTCTGTGCGATCCGATATTTTCGCACAGGTATGGCCAGATGTTTGTTTCTTCCCATCTGTTCCTGGCCGTACTAAAGCGCTCTTAGATGTTCCCCGTTCCAGTTCATGGGTCCCGCGCGCTATACAGATCCTCCATGTAAAATAGAGGACTTGCCCAAGATTGATGTGGTCATTATCTCTCACAATCAGTACGTTTTTTGTAACATCTGTGAATCTGGTTTCCGAGTAATGGAAGTAACATTGCATAGCTACGATCACTTGGATCTTACCACGGTGAAAGCCCTTGAGCGCGATCACCCTCACTATTACGTGCCGTTGGGAAACAAGTCTTGGTTTGCGCCAATCACATCTTCAGTTACGGAATGCGACTGGTGGGATGAGCACGTACTTGAGTTGCCTGGAAAGGCCAAGGTCCGCATTGCATGTACTCCGTGTCAGCATTTTACGGGTCGCGGATTACATGATCGCAACCAGACATTGTGGAGTAGTTGGGCAGTAATTGGGGAGAAGGGAAGACGCTTCTATTTTGCTGGGTGAGAACGAAGTGGCATTATGGGCAACACGCCGCAAGAGCGACGAGCTGACGACATTGGTGCAGCGACACAGGATACAGGACTGTCAATAAGGGTGCAGATGAAACTCAAGTCCCAATCTGCCCAGCATTCAAAGAGATTGGCGCAAAATACGGTCCATTTGACCTTGCATGGTGCGTCCAAAACACTAATAATGACCTGATGCCTTGATAACTGACGTGGCCCCGGTTAAGCATTCCCATCGGTGCCTATTCCCCGCGCTGGTTCATGTCACCCGTTCACTGCTCGCCAGAAGATGCAGTTTGTGTGCACAAAGATGTAAAATCCAAGCGCTCGATCGGCATGCACTGGGGTACCTTTACCTTGACTGATGTACGTCTCTGCTCTGCAATGTTGCGTTCTTGGAGGTTCTGACGTTTGGTCTGTCTGTAGGAGGACATCAGAGAGCCGCCTCTTAGACTACGGGCGGAGGCTGAACGACAGGGACTCAAAGATGGCGAGTTTGGTGTTTTGCAAATAGGTGAAACAATTTCTGTAGGAGTTTAAGTTGACGATGCAGATAGGTCAAACAATTTTCGTAAGAGTTCAAGTTGAAGATATAAAGTACATGTAGCTTTCTAACTAGATAGGATGGTATATTCGTCACTGTTGCCTTTTTCGAATCCCTCTGTGATCCTTGCTTGTGCGAATTTGCATATCTCTCCATATTCAAAAGGAAAAGCCTCAAAAACGTAAAATGATGATGTGCAGTGCAATATCATATATTTGCTATATCTACATGTTTACAAAGGAAAACGGTATGCAAGAACCCTTCCTCTGCCAAACAAATCCAACAGTATCCCATAATCATATTTGCACAAGAAAGTCCTCAAACTACGAATGATCGACAGCCAAAAAGAAAAAAGAAGACACTATTCACCATCAGCAGCAGAAATACTGAGCAGCGCTTTAGTAGTAGTCGGTCTTCTTGTCCTTCTTGTAGTCGTTCTTGTAGTATTCGTTGCTGTAGTAGTCGTTCTTGTAGTCGTCATTGTACCCAGCTTGAGGAGCAGCCGAGTAGTAATTGCCGCGGTGCCTTTCACGGCGTCCGTAGTCGTCCTTTCGGTGGTAATCATCCTTGTGGTAGGAGTCCCTGTGGTAGTCGTCGTTCCATCCAGCTTGAGGAGCAGCCGAGTAGTAATTGCCGCGGTGCCTTTCACGGCGTCCGTAGTCGTCCTTTCGGTGGTAATCATCCTTGTGGTAGGAGTCCCTGTGGTAGTCGTCGTTCCATCCAGCTTGAGGAGCAGCCGAGTAGTAATTGCCGCGGTGCCTTTCACGGCGTCCGTAGTCGTCCTTCTTGTAGTAGTCGTTGTCGTAGTAATCGCTGCCACCACGTGCTGCTAGGGCGACCGGCGCTGCTGGAACGACACTGGCAGTTTCCGAGCGAGCTTCAAGCTGGGTGACTTCCTTGTTCTCGACTGGAGCTGCTGAAGCGAGACCGCAGGCCAGGAGAGCGAAAAGACCGTGAGTGAGACGCATGTTGCTTTGTGTGGTATACGAAGACTAGAGGGTTGAAAAGATGGATTGAAGAGGACTGCTGAGGAGATACTATTGAAGGTGTGTTGAGTGATGAGAAGAGGAGGTAACGGTTGGTCCTCCTTTTATGCAAGTTCTCAGTCGTCGGCTGATGCACCCAGGCGTACACATCCCTCCGGTCAGTAACAGGGGCGTAAAACCTCAGCTTTGCGGCAGTACAGACTGGAGCATGTCGGTTTTGGGCATCTAGGGGCTGCATGGGAATGGCTATGCATTGGGCTTTGTCATGGAAAGCCACCAAGGGCTTGAAAACCGGAAAACTGACAGGGAGGAACGCGTGGAGCAGTTGCCTTTTGGGCGCAACTTTCTACTCCGCCTTGTATATTGGAGCAGAGCCATAATTAAACCTATGCGGATGGCCAATCGTTTCTGCAAAGTGTTTCCGCAGCAAGCAAAGTTGGGTGTAGGCTGTTGATGCTCAGCCGAGGGATCAAAAGGAAGGAACACTTGCAACACGCGCGCGTTTGGTTGCGTAATACACGCAATCCCGCCTGAAAGTTCCTCAGCCATTATTAGTGCGAATGACTGGCTGAAAACGAGGGATTGAAAGATGGACTTTGCAGTTTGTCCTTGTGCTTTCAAGTGCAGTAAAAGCTATCGCAAAATACTTTGCTTACTGCTCTCTCCAAATGTGTAGTGAGATGAATATGACAAGACATATATTGCGTACTTATATCATGTCAAAGTGGATTCTAAAATGATCACGTGACATACATCAGCATCACCCGACAAACGCAAATCCAAAGCGAAGGGGTTTCAACCCTTCAACATGACACCAATGATATGACAAGTGGTTTTCTCACCTCTGGCCCCAAAAGCTTCCAGACAACTCTTCTGCTGATATCGGATATTTTCTTTAGGAGGGACGTTCATAACCCTCCTTGAACAAAACCAGGAATGCCAGTGTTCTCAATTCTGAACTGCCTCTTACCCTTCCGTCGATCATCCATGACATCTCCAGTGTACACTGACGGCGACTGGCAGTGTGATATTTGTAGCCTCTACAACAGGGTGCGCTTATTTTTCATTCCCGTGCTTAATTGCATCGGAGGGAGAGTGGTGAACAAGAATACTAACTGGCCTTTAGCCCACGACCAAGGTATGCGCTGCATGCAACATGTCTCCCGCTGGTCCCGGGATGTGGTCGTGTACAGAATGTAGCTATCATAACATGGTAAATAGGCGATCACAGATACTCTTATTGTTTTCAAACTTACCTAGTTATTTCAGAATGAAGTAATTGCTTGTGCCATGTGCTATCAAACACGTGTGTCGGCAAAAGACTTGGCCTACACATGGGAATGGGCCCCTAACCCAGAGCAGGTATTTGACAACTAATCTTATGTCCAGTTTACTCATCTCACTTTGAGTTGTATACTACCAACTAGTGGATTCCTTATGATACTCCTACCGCTGCGGTCATTGAGCAAGCCTTTTTGTCGAGGCTTAAGTCCACGACGCTCAACGTTGGGCCGTATTTCATGATGTATCCCAGAACATACACGTTCCACTTTGACTATGAAAGCGGCAACTTTTATCAGCGCAACAGGGCGAGTGGTATGTGTCGCACAGCAAGGAGGAGAACCGGCGAAGAACAAATGAAAACGATTGATAGTAAACTGGTGGAGAAGGGTGACCGATGCGTCATTTGCCAGGAAAGGTTTGACGAGGATGGGGCGAGGGAGATTGTGCAGCTGGTGATGTGCACTGGTCACTACTTTCACAAGGGTTGCATCAGCGGGTACCTCAAAGTGAGAGACACCTGTCCCGTCTGTTTCAAGAACGTCGAAGCATAACTACATCCTTTGGTGATATCGTTGCAGAATTGGCACTTGCAATATCTGAGCCTCATAGTACATCCAATTTGTACGCAATGTATGTATCATAGTAATTAAATATAGCAGAAGTTTCACTAGCATCCAACATCTACATGAAAATAAACGGAGCTGAATTAATGCTGACTAATCCGATCACTCAAAGGATGATTCATGCATTTGAACCATTGCCAAACTGTTGAAGAGTAGGCCTTTCTCAAGATCTCACTGGCAGCCACGTTTCAACATGACCACAGGCCTTCCAGCAACGGCCGAGATGCCCTACAAGGACTACGTTCTGGCCTTGTCCTGGGCGGTGTATCTTTGGAGCACATACCTCAAGTAAGGCGCCGTGTCATTGAACCCTCTACCTGTCTGGTGATGTCTGTATTTACGCTTTTGCTAGTTACCGACAGCACCGGAAGCTACGCGAACCAAAGCTTCCACCGACCATGGCAGAAGTCGTGAAAGACGAAGATTTTCAGAAAGCACGATCATATGGCTTGGATAAATCTCGCTTTCAGTTCTTTTCCGATGCGTTTGACCAATTGCAGTCCACGGCGTTCATTGTTTACGACTTTTTGCCCTACTTTTGGAACTTGGCTGGCGCTGGCTTGGCAAAGTTTGGTTGTGGGGAAGATTATGAGGTAGCACCAAAGATGAGGTACATGGCCTGGCGCTTATCTTGAAAGGTTTCTTACATGCTTCCGCTACTCTCAGATCTCCCAATCGATCGGCTTCGTTGTAATAATGAGCCTTTTTAGCCTTGTTCTCGGTCTTCCATTTTCCCTATATCGGACCTTTGTTATTGAAGAAAGACATGGATTCAACAAGCAGACGATTGGATTGTTCTTTTCTGACATGCTCAAGGAGCTAGCTCTTTCTGGCGTGATTGGCATCCCTGCAATTGTCGCCTTTCTGAAAATCATCAACTGGGCGGGTCCATCCTTTTACTTTTACGTTTGGGTCTTTGTGTAAGCTGAAGTTTTCATTGATATCTCTCATTAAGTTAAGAATAACATCTCTTGTGTTTCACACAGATTCGTCTTTCAGATTGTCATGCTCATCATCTTCCCCACTTGGATCCAACCTCTCTTTAACAAATTCACCCCACTAGCTGATGGATCTCTCAAGGAAAAGATTGACGCTTTGGCAGAGCGAATCAGCTTTCCCCTAAAAAAGATTTTTGTTATTGACGGATCCAAACGGTCGGCGCATTCTAATGCATATTTTTACGGATTCTTTGGGAACAAGCGTATTGTGCTTTACGATACGCTCCTGGAGCATTCCACTGAGGATGAAGTGTGTGGTGTTCTTGGTACGTGGTTAATAACAAAAAAAGGCCTCAACAACACTGCGATCTGATGTCATTTTGTTCTGGAACTCCTCTTCAGCCCATGAACTTGGTCATTGGCAATACAACCATGTCTTGCAAATGTTGGTCATTATTCAACTGCATCTGTTCTCCCTGTTCTATATCTTCAGTTCTTTCATCAACCACGTTCCACTGTATCGCTCGTTTGGATTTTCAACCCAACCACCGTTGATAGGGTTTACGCTTTTCCAGGTAGTTTATCAGCTGTTATGCATCCTTGGCCGGCACGGTGCTCAGTTACATTATCTTTGTAGTATATTATCCTTCCCGCCGAGATGGTACTCTCGTTCCTCCAAAATGTCGTATCAAGAAAGAACGAATTCCAAGCGGATGCATTCGCAAAGAAACTTGGATATGCGAAACTCCTCAAAAGTGCACTCATCAAGCTGCAAGTGGAAAACAAAGGCAATATGAACCCGGACAAATGGTACAGCGCTTGGCATTACTCGCATCCGCCTCTAGTTGAACGGTAGGTGGCAAAACATATGGATTTTACCAAGCCTTATCCTTAATCATTAATGTACTCTCATTGCCAGGCTGAATGCGATAGGAAAGACTGAGTAGATTAGAGAATCTTTTGTCTTTACTTGCTATATAGGGCAATCTTTATACAGTGAGAAAATCACAGTGGGTTCACAGTTTGGCCCGTAGTGGGTGTCCGACAGGTAAAGGGCGGTGGTTACTGTCTGCGCCATCGGTTCCTGTATGCCTGTCTTTCTCCCACAGCTCTTTTCCAGCTCTAATCGTGGTGAGATACCATTGGACGCATCTTTCTCGACGAGTGTAGTCAAAGCCACGACTATGACCCACTGCATCAAACAACGCCTTCCAAAGTGGGGATCTGTCGGGGTTTGTCTGTACTCCAATACCGCGTCGTCTTGATTCAGGCATGGAATGTCCTGTTGTAGTTTCAACTGCATTTGCATCATCTGGCACTTCTTCCGCGGCTAGGAAGGACGGAACATGTCCATCAAGCATTAGATTCTCAATCGTGGCAAGTAACGCTTCCAATCCGCTTAGCGCAATTGTGCGCACTTGGTCGAATAATACAATCGCAAGCTGGTCTCGCTGCATGATGATGTCGGCCGGTCCGGCGACACTCAGAATTTGCTTCAGACGACTTGACCCGTCGTTCGCAAATGGCTGAGATTCAGACTGGTGTTGTTCGAAGGTGTCAATTTGATGTGACAATCGATCGATATGCGTTACCAACCGGGCCAGGCAGTTCCACGCCAAGGCATCACCCTCCTCTTCTTGAAGCGCCGTTTGTGCGTCTGGTTCCCCCACATTTGACAGTTCAGAGTCCTTGTTTTTTGCGTCCTGTTGCTGCTGCTGCTGCAGGTTCCCGCCATCCTCCCCTGATTCCCCGTGACTTTCCGAGAGCTCCATCTCCCTCCCGCTTTCCGAAATGTCTCGACCTGTCCTCCTACCCGACGCTTGAGCGCCTTCATCATCGTCTTCTTCGTTCTCGACGTCAGTAGACAGTATTAATCTTCCTTGATGAGCAGACGAGAAGGCAGACAGTGATTTGATGAGGAATGCAAAACAGCGACGGAGCAGATCAAAGTCGATCGGCTCAGGAGAGTACTAACGGATAGAGAGATTGGCCACCGCAATAGAAGAGTACATTCTGACGATGAGTGCCTACCTCCAGCAGTAGCTCAGCATACCACGGAGCAAAACTTCGTACTATATTCCTGAACCTCGACACATGCTCAAATGTGGAGACACAGATTGCATGCGCCATTTCAAACAGATCCTTATCTTCCGTCGTGGGATTTTGGTGGATACTGGCTTGTGGTCGGTGAAACCTCAGATATGGGTATACGCGAGGTAGAACGTCATTGGCCACGTAACCCTCCGGAAGGTGCCGCATCAGTTGGCGGGCTAGAGTAAGATGGAAGAGGAGGCGACATTTGCTGACGGGGTTGGACTCAACTTGACAACATAAATTTCATGTTAGACAGGGGCGGTTAACGTTAGGAATCATCACCATTCCCACCATATAGACCACAATAGGCGGGGGTTAATAGTCGCATTGTGTCTTCTATTTTGGTACTCGTCTGGTTTGCTTGCTTCGCGTCCTGCATCAGGTCTGGAGGCGTCTCTAACCAAGCCACCAGACCTTGGACAGTTTCTTGCCATGCTTTGAAACCGCCCAGACCGAACCGTGCGGTGACAAAGTGCATGTACGAGAAGGTCTCCAGCACGAGTTGGACTGCTTGTACTGCTGAATGGCTGTATTGGTCAACCGCACTATTTGGATGGTGTTGATGATCAAAGAGAGTATCTACAAAACTCTTCGAGATGACTGTTACGACAAAGAGAGCGGTTTTGAAATATTGCCACAAAGAATCGTAAGTGTCCTTATGATCTGACACAAAAAGTCAAAACACTGCCCAAAAAATCATTGCAAATAGATGCATGCATACCTTGGCTTGACTGTAGTACTGAGCCATCGACATTGCAAGTCTCCCATTCTGTATACAGACGCTGACAGAACTGCCGCATTCTGCAGCAGATGTCAGCTCGAACAAGTCTGTTAACAGTGAAAGACAGGATTGATAACTCACGTCTCCAAGGTTCGCAATACTGTATCATACTCTCCATTGTTCCATTCAAAGTCAATAAGCACCCCAATGGCTTTGGACATCCTTCCCATTTCAGCGTATATCGGGTGTTGAGACGCCTTGTTCACCTTTGCTTTCAGCCGTTCCGAAAATAACTTTTGCGGCTCTTTTGCCTGTTGCAAATAAATATGAGACCCACGAAATTTGTCACGCTGAGCGCATGATACAGTCCCCACCTTGGAAACTTCCAAGGATAACTGTCGAAGAAAGCCTTCCTCAAGAGCGAGCGCTGTATGATGTGTGAAGAGCACATCCACCACCGTTTCAAGGGCCCCCTAGGAATCGGATCCGCATAAGTGTGAGAATTCGGCATCTTTCCAGTTTTGAGACGGGCACTTACTTGCCAATTCCCTTCCAACCTGTCCACGTCCGGCGAGTTCAGATATCCCAACACCTGTGCACACCCATACGCCAACAGTTCCTGACACACTTTGAAGAAGTTTAGTCGACATGGCAACAACTTGAGTACGATATCCTCTACCTTGCTGTTGCTCGTTCGTAGACGGCTCGTTGACCTGATCCGATGCTGCTATTAAAGCGTCTAAAGTCCTCTTTTGTACAAATCTGCGAGCGGTTCTCTCCTTAGATACAGATTTCACCGCTCCGTTTCCTTTGTTCAACCTGTCTGAAAATGCACGCCTGGTCAAAAGCAAAGGGCTTAATGTTCCGCCGCTTCTGGTAACAGTCAGATATGGTCGGAAGTACATACCATATGCCGACTTGAGCCATCAAAGCCACGCCACATTGTACTGAACATTGAAGTATTGGTCTTATTAGTTGGATGCGGGATCGAACGACTGACATAAAGCATCATACCTTGTTTACCAGCTGCATTGCTAGAGGCAGACGTAATGGCATCTGATAACGATGCCAACCATTCCGGAATCTCTACCGACGTTTCCTTCAGACTCCGAATGCGCCACCACGCCCGGCTGCTTTTTGCCTCTGTTGATGCATCACTCTCCCAGCGCGCTTGCGTGACGTATTGGTAGAGGTACATGATCTTAATTCCTCCCTCCACAGATAGAAGTTCAGGAGGTGTGTTCCTGGGAGCTATTTGATGTGCCCATGCGGCAATTAGTGCTTCATTCAGGGCTCCAAATGGAGCAGGTGGAAGGATCTTCATCGGATGCACCAACGCAGTGTATAGAGCATCTTGGTTGACAGGACTGGCAGAATTACGAGTGGTGAGGCGAGAAAGAGACGTCTTAACAATCAGGGACTTGTATACCTGAAGGAAGGTAGGTGTTGAAGGCCCGTACACAATGTCTCAATGGCGGTGAGGTCCATTTCGGGCGTCAACTTCCCTGACAATCACGTGCTGGACGTTAATAATTGATGCCGCGAGTTGTATGAACGGTTGATCGTACCGATACTAGCTGCCAATGCAGCAAGACAATAGGGCAGGATGCTCGGGGAGGGATTGGGTTGACTAATGAGTTCCTGTGCCGTAGTAGCTACGAACTGCAAAATGTCGGTGGGCATGTCCAACGATGCAAATGAATCTACAGAAAATTATCAATACGCTGTCGTACGCGAATCGAAGCTGCAAGGACATACCCGTTTTCCGGATCCAGAAGGAAAACAAGCGAATGATTGGGGCGAGACTCGGTTGAAAGAGCCCCGCATCCGATGACAAAGCCCGACGCCCAAGTACTAGAAGACTTCTCAGAAATTCCGCACTATACCATGAAGCAGGCAATTGTGCAGCATAATGTGCCAAGATTCTGAGATTCTCAAAAGCCTTGTAGCATCATGAGACACACCACGGTTATCTTGTCGATCTCAATGATAACAGAAAAAATAATCAAACATACGATGAAATCGCTCTGATCTGTGAATTCGATGATGGTATAAAAGCTACACGCTAGTACGCCTCCTAGCTGCTGAACATTGGGCGTAGGGATGTTCACTGTCGCTTCTTCATTCGCGGAATCCAAGGGGATAAAGCCTTGTAGTCGAAGATTGCGGACACGGATTGACTCAAAGACCTCGTTCAAAAGAACGTTACTATATATCATAAGAGAGATTAGTCAAACAATGCTCTCCTCCAAGGTCCAATGACCGTCAGTTACTCACCTTGAATATCTTTTCCCTCCCACAATCTTTTGAAGGCGTAGGTTCTGCTGATCAAATGATTCCTTCCAAACATTCGGGCCGAGACGTGAATGCGTCATGATGCCGAGCCGCTACAGTACGGTTTGATGAGTGCAACAAAATCTAATCCGCACTATTTTCGAGGCTACCTGTTCCCTGATTTTTGCTAACACATCCTCAAATATCCGCTGAGCTCCCGCAGCGTCACAAGGCCCAGTAGCGTAAACAGCCAGGTATAGAAGAACAAGAATAAGTCGCTCCAGATTGACTTTGTCTGCCTCTGTCATCACACTATATCCCAATTCTCAAGTAAGCACGTTATGAATCAGCCTCGCGCATTCTTAGACGTACGTTGTTTCCAAGATGGGATATTCCCCGTCAAGATATTTGCCGACATTCTCCCAGTTAAACTGTTGAATATCGAGTTTGACGAACAGGTCATGCAACGATCGTCCTTGAAAGGGATCAGGCAGATACACCACACCCGGGGATCTTCCATCTGAAATGCTCAATGAATGAGGACTCCTTATGGGGCGCTTGCCCTACAGAAACGCACCAGATGAAGGAACTGCGGGGGTTTCTTCCAAATGTCGCAAAATCGTTGCGACCCGCTCTAAACGTTCAAGACGTCCGGCATGTACCAGCTGAAAGATTGCATTCACCCATGGCGCGGTTCTTGTTCCGACGGCACTAGATCGTTCAGAAATCACAACAGCAAAGTCAGTCGATATGCACCACAAGGAAAGCGAAATGAGATGAGCCAACTCTTGGGCAACATACGAACCCGGTGGAAGGAGTTTGAGTGATCCCCAAAGCCTGGAAAATATCTTCTTTCAGGTTGAACTGTGTCATCTCGCCCAGCTACATTTCGAACAAGGATCCTTCGATTCGTAGGGCTGGTTGCAAATTTCTGGTCCTTCTGCTTGTTGACTCATCGGGATGGCTGAGCAGCATGAGTAAGCAATCGAGAGCTAAGCCGCTCATGGCTGTTGGACAGCTCGATCGCTTGCTTTCCCCGTCCATTGGTACTGCTGACATTTTCTGTATTGTTGCTGATTCCCAAAGCTCGGCGACACCGAAGGAAGGTGCTTTGAGCTGAACATATATCGTCTGGACAGTTCCGCTGTTTGCCGTCTCTGAAACGTCTGGCAGCGTCTGCCATCTCTGGTGGGCGTTCATACCCGCCAAAATTTCAAGATGCCGGTGTCCCTTCGGGAGGCGGTTAGAAAACGTGAGAGCTTGCAGTACTCCAAAGTCCAAAACCCGGGTTTGTGCTAAGATTGTTTTTGGCTCTTTTATGTCCAGGCATCCTCGTCGACTCGCTAAAGTCAGTGCAGTCGCCTGGCAAATGGAAGGTGTTAGTTGTGGAAGAGAATGCCCTTCGGATTTTGAATAGTGTTTGCGATTTGCATGACTTATCCGACGTGAACGTCCCTGGTGGGTACTGCTTGGTAATTCTTCCTCCGGGCTTGGTTGAGGTTTAGGAATGAATGTAGATATTTGGTTCCCTTTCGCCAGTGACGGAGCCGTTAACACGGTCACGGACGCCATACCCGGATAAGGAGGCCATCTATTTTATCACCCCATCAGTCGACGCAATCAAAGCTCTGATAAATGACTTCCGCGGCCCAAAGCCCATGTATTCAGCTGCCCACATATTCTGCATATCCGGTAACCCTCAGTTGGCTAGAATTGTGTTCATCAATACCTGCATTTATACCTCAGTTTTCAGGTCTACCTGATCCGTTGTTTGACATGATCAAAGCCTCTCCAGCCCGAAATTACATCCAAGCCTTGAAAGAGCTAAATATTGACTTCACTCGTATGTACAGTCCTTGCGGCTCGCTTGCTTGGTATATATGTTTCTCAAACTCCATATAATCAGCTGTGGAGTCACAGGTCTATCACTTCAATGACCCAACCCCGTTCACAAAGCTGCGCAATGTGATGGATGTCGCCCAATTGGATCGTTGGTTGGAGCAGATTGCCGAGCAGGTCAGTGACACAATGGCGCAAGTACTTGGGTGATCCCCGTCTGTTCGAAGTTTAGCGTACACAATTACATCTGCAGATGAAGTCAGTGTTATGGACCCTTGAAGACTGTCCTACAATTCGATATTTCGATCCTTCCGGGAAAAGTGATTCGCTATCTGCGCATATGGCATTCAAGTTGCAGAAGGCTATTGATCAATTAAAAGACCTTGATCCCGAATGGCCGCCTACAACACCCTATGCTCCAGCACAGATCCTCGTTTTGGATCGAAGTGTGGACCCGTTTGCCCCTTTAATACACACATTGACGTACCAAGCTGCTGCCCATGATATCCTCCAAATAGATGGAACTAAAGTGACGTAAGTCTTTTAAGGAGACGTCTGTCTATCTTACTTGGTTCTCGACTAGACGCTTTGACCGTTCGTGATTTTAGTTATAGTAAAGACGATACCACGACGCAGACAGCTGTGCTGGACGAGTCCGATGGCCTCTATGTACGCATAGAGTGCACTATCTTATGCAAGCTGGCAACTGATTGACTTATAATTTCTTGCTCTTAGAAAAACATTCGGCATCATTTCATTGCAGACGCTTGGAAAAAAATCCTTGAGACTAAGAACAAGCTAGATGCCGAGAGTTCCGCGATAGAGTCATCTGAAAATGCCTTGAAGCGCATTGAACAGTTGAAGATCAAGCTGTTTTCCCTTCCAGATGCCCAAAAAACATTGGAAAAGGTGGTTATGCAGCCGTCGTTTACTGATTTTTCGATCTGTGCAATAACACATTATGTAGGTTGCTCTTCATATACATCTCTACGCAGAAATAATGCAGGCAGTGAATGACCGCCAACTGGACGAAGTGGCTAGCATTGAACAGGTCCAAACACCTCGCAATCTCACAATGATGGTGACTTAGTAACGCTAATTGGCATACAACTCACGTTTTCAGATCATAGTCACTGGCGAAACCCCTAACGGCGATGGTATTACAGAAACGCTGATCAATGACGTCCTCGCAATTTTGGAGAGTCCGAATGTTTCGTATGTCCGCTTTTCCAATGTTCTTCGTACTGTTTGATTGCTCATTGATGATCCGCAGCCTACAGGATAAATTACGTCTCATTCTTACCTACGCCCTTGGAGTCTCCAATGTTGACTGTGACCGCTTAATCGAAGCGGCGCAGTTGGGTCGAGAGGCTGCGGCCCTGAATGGATTAGATTTCCTGGGGAGAACACCAGCTTTGATTGAAGCAAATAGTCCTCAGGTAAATTGACTATCGATCTGCATTCGGAAAGGCCCTTTTATTCATGTTGCAACATTCTTGGCAGTGGCGATATACAGATCTTGGGCGTAAAGCGGAAGCAAGACGCCAGAAGAAAAAGAATCAGGATACTGATGAACAGCCCTTTGACATCCACCGATACGTACCTGCTTTAAAATATATCTTACAGGTTGGTATTTTATGTCCATGACTCTCTGCGTAATACATCAGATTTATTGATAATGTCAAGTAGGATATGATTACAGGAAAGCTCGACTCCGCCATTTTTCCACCGACTGTTGTGCAACCAAGCATAGAAATAAATGGCACTTCTGAGTCGAGTAAATCCGCACATCAGACTCCGGGCAGAGGCACCTTGGTTGCCTTCACTGGAGACTTCAAGCCTACAGTAAGTATTGGCACTACACGACACTTTTTCTGGACGACGTTTCTGTTACCGTTTTTTCAATGATACCTTTCACATTTATAGTGGGGGAAAAGAAAGCCGGCTACCGGAGCACAGACAAATGTGGATCTTCGAACGAATGGCAGTCGCATTATCGTGCTATTTGTGGACGGCCTATCTTTTGCCGAAGTGCGGGTGGCATATGAAGTCACAAGCGAGTTGCAGCGAGAAGTGATCATTGGTACGTATTAGCTACACGTATACTCTATTGAGGACTGATAATCGAGTGCTGAACACTATCATACCCATAGGCTCAACAAATTTAGTCACTCCAACCGAATTCATAGGGGGCCTCTGTGATCTCGGAGCCACTGGGAGGAAACCATTTGTTCTGCCCCCAGTTAAACTCCCCAGCAGGGAACCCATATCTGTTCCCCGGGATCGGCCATTACCACAACCGCCGCAGGAATTGCAGATACCCGCAATGTCGTCTGTGTTGCCATCCCCACCACCCGAGATCGTCGAGCCCAAACGCGTATCTTCAGATCCAACGCGAACGGGTCTCGTTCACTCAAAGTCTAGCTCCTCACTGGTCCTGGAGAAGTCTGGAAGAACAGCGGGACCTCCTGCGTTAGAGCACTCGCACTCGGCCTCGTCTCTTTTTCCCAATACCTCCAGACTTTCTCCATCGTCATCTGCGAATCCACAGAGACCTCGCCCTGTGTCATGGGTAGCGGGTCCTTCCCCGATTTTGGTGAGTAAAATGGTCATTTCTGAGAACCCAGATGTAGCAATCCTAATTTTGATGTTCACAGCAACCGGAACCTAAAAGATTCTCAGGATATCCGGAAGGCGAAGCACCGTCCCCTCCTCCAAAGACGGGCAGCTCGCCAACTAAAGGCAGTGCACTTCCACCGTCTTCTCTGCAAGCGATTCCAGTTGCACAAGGTCAAGGGCGTCCGCCGGCGCCGACACGCGTTCACTCAAGCTCGGCAAGCTCGTCCTCAGATCTTTTTAGCTCTGGCGAATCTTTTTCGCCGGCTGCGAGAACAGAGCAGTCTACAGACGGACCATCCCGCCCAATGTCCTCCGGCTCTGGATATCCGCGTAGTGAACTGGCACCAGGACGCCTTCCAGGGAGCAATGCATTGCCGGGAACTGAGTATGCCCAAGGGGGTGCGAAGGGGTATCAGCAAGCTATATCAGTTCCGGACGCGACACCTTCTCGTCCTCAGGCAAACGTGGCTCCTGTTTACGGCGGTCCAAGCCCATATTCTTTGCAGAAAAGTAGACAGGACGTACCACCAACTTCTCGCCATTCGTCCGGGGACTATTCCGCGCAGATCAGTCCGCTGGGATACCCACCCGTGAAGCCCGTTGACAATCCAGCTCCACCTCTACAAACGACGCGGCCGTCCGCCCCCCTTAGAGGCACCGGGTATCCTCAGGAGACCGATCCCGCCAATATCCGCTCGTCATCTACTGATATCGCCTCGAAAGCATATCCCCCGCGTATAAAATCCCGTGGTGCTCCACTTGTGCGGCCACAAGGTGTCTCGCCGCCATTGCAGAGTCAACAGCGCGGAGACGAAGTGGAGCGGACGTCGCTGCCAGCTACAGCGTCAGGGGGTGACGACATGCGGAAGGGCAGTGCACGATCTTTTGAAGAGTCGAGACCGTCCAGTCGCGACGCGGAAGAAGAACAGCTTAAAGCAGCCATTGCAGCATCATTGCTGGAAAGTAATACAGGGCGTCAACCGCCTTCATATGGTCACTCGAGTCGTCAGCCGGCAGACCGAACCACTCCTACTCAACCGCCCAATATGCGCACTGAGCAACAGCCTTCTTATCCATCCTCTGACCACGTTGTCGCTCCTTCCACACCGCCTCTACAAGTACCTAATTACCCTCCTTTTCGAGCACAATCACCTCGCCCGCCGCTATATCGACAGGCAGCATACCGCCAAGCACCTCTACCACAATCCCAACAACCGCCGGCACAAAACACCCCGCCGTATGGATATTATCCGGGTCAAAGTCCTCCCGTGAGTTTCTATCAGCAAGCTCCAGGGCCATATCAGCAACCGCAAGGACCATATCGGCAAGCTCAGTATCAGCAGGCACCGCTGCCGTCAAGTGCATCCGCTAGACCGACCTCACCGGGTGGACAAATGTATCATAGGAGTGCGCAAGGCCCCCAACCCCCAAATTACCCTGGTGCACCTTCATACGGACCTTATGGGTATCAAGGGAGACCTGAGCAGCGGTAATTGGCAAGGGCAAATATGTTTACGTTGGGGTGGTGGTACTTTAATGTAGGAGATTAGATTTCTATGTTTTGTAGGTAGCATAATATGTAATAAGCCATCAAGATAGTCTTCAAAAGAATCCAATAGGGCAGTTGAATGTCCATGTAGGCTAAAATGTCACGTAAACAGCACCCAACAAGTTGACAATTGCAATCTTTTTTGAATCAACGCAAACTCGTATATAAAAAAACAATAAAGAAACGATCAAGAATGAGAAAAGAAAGATAATTCTGCATACAAAAAAGTGTAAAGAAATCAAAAGAGCCTACTTTCTGCCACATAACGCTGTTCGACCCGTTTTCTTTTTTTGCCCTTTTATCCCACTTTACAGTAAAAACAAAATTGTTTCTCCCGGCCCAGCAATACGACAGAAAAAAAAGAAAACTGATGAAAATGTCTTCCTACCTATCGATAAGACCACGAAAAGAATGAGCTACACTAGAAAAGCTTTCAAAAGAAAACCGCAGCCAAAAAGACCATCGCTTCTGCAGCGTGCATGAGTATATACAAGAAAAACAAAAGCAGAAGACTCTCTCTCAAAAAAAAAAAAATCTGTCCTACAGCTCAAGATGAAAAGCCAAGAAAAGCAAGCCTACAAGGTTGCTCCAACAGAGAAAAAGGACAATGGTGAACATGGATGGGCATGTGCAAGCACAACCCGTTCGCTTAATGTACAAACGGGACAAAAGCAGTGAAAAAAGTTGTTTGATTGCGGTACTAGCGAACGGAAGTGTCGGTGAAGGAAATTGCTAACAAATTGAACGGTTGCTATCAGATATCTTGACGCACAGTGTTTTCGCGCACGCAAATAGGACAAGATACATACCATCGTAAATATTTATAAATGAAGCATCACCTCGAACCTAATGTCCATGGATAAGGCGACTTTCCTTTTCCATCATCATAAGCGGTTGATGGACCATGGGTTGAGGGCCAGCTGGTGGAGGACGAACACCCAGAGGATTTTTAGAGTAGCTCAAGCGAATGCCGCCCTTTGTCGAGTTGCTGAGAGGATTGCCATAGAGCTGAACAAGGGCTTGCGTCGCGCATTGCACGTCTTCAAACTCGACAAAACACATTGGTCCGTTCGGTCTGCTACGGAAACACATTCGCTTGTATCCCGGACAACGAGAAAAGAGTTGCCGAAGTTCCTCCTCAGATGTGTCATGTGGGAGATTGCCGACATAGAGTGTGTTGCATGGTGGGTTTTGGTCGCCGTTGGAACGAGGACCGTAAGGTCCCAGGCCGGTTGGACTAGTTCCGGCAGAGCTTGACGCACTAGAGGCACTACCGCTACAGCTACCCGTGCTACCGCTGGGTGTGGTGTTCATACCGAGAATAGAGAGTCTGGGAAGTAGGCTTTCGCTACTGAAAAGTGCGCTGCTGAATCCTCGCTCCGAGAACGACTGACTGCGAGCCACCGTTGTGGGGGGTGATGGACCATTGTCCAAAAAGTCATTGTAAGTGTTGGCATCAACGACATTTGGGCGACCAGTCACCATTCCGCCTGGTTGTCCAGGACGCACGTCCATAAACTCTGAGAAGGAGCCTGCTCGTGCAGAGTATGGAGATTCGCTCAGTGACGTGCGTCCCATCATGGACTCTTGGGATCCATAGAGGTCACACATGTCAATTGGAGACGGGAAGTCAGGAGCACCGAAAAGATCCCGTGTAAGCGGTGGTGTTGACATTGGTGGTGCGCCAAGGAAGAACGGGTCGGGAAACATTGTGCTATCCTTGGATCCGCGCCGTTGAAGGTGGGCCATTGGGTTCATGCCAAAGCCGTTGGCGAGGGTAGCGTGATCGATTGACAGACCACGTTTCGTGTGAAGATTCTTCTTTGCCATTTCTGCCTTCAATACGCAGCCTCGCTCGGCGTCGACCTTGCGGCCGCTAAGAACGTCTCTGGCCTCCAAAGCGTCAAGGCGAGTTCTAAACTTTGCAAAACCAATCTGTGGGAAAAAATATCGAATGGTTGATAAGTCAGTGTGAAAAACGTAGCTTGGATAATTTCCAGGACTCACGATTTGCTTCCTGCCATTGTTGGTTCCTGTTCCGTCATCGCTATCGGTTTGTGAAGGTATCTTGAGTGTGGCAGCTTCAAAGCCAGAAGAGAATGTAAACATGTTTTGAAATTCGCGCTCTTGCATATCATCAGGGAACCCGACGACAAAAATAGTTGTGATTTCCTCCTGTGTTAAGCAAAAGTAAGTTTGACTTGGAGGATATAGCGACCATCCATTGTTCAGAGAAGCTTACCTGCATGGTTGCAATATGTGCCACAGGCATTTACATAAATGTAGGTTGATGTCGCCAAAGTAAATCATATATACATGACAGCAAGCGATGGGGATGCTTGGGGAAAAA